CGCGGATCCCGCGAATATTATTACAAAATATCAAGACTGCATTACCTGTTACGTCGTTGTTGTAGCACAAACATGACTGGCATTGACGGCACAAGTACAATATCTGAATGTAGACTACGCTTCGACTGCGCCACCCATCGTCCCTGTAGGCTCGGAATAACACCAGCAATCATCTGACTGCGGTCTCACGCGCAGCTTGTCACAATGCCGCAAAGAACTATTACACTTACTTCCTGCATATCGTCAGTTCTCCCTCATCGCCGAACAGAGTTGATTCACCAGTTCGCCGCAGATGCAAGCATGCATGACGACAGTTGCAGCATTCGCACCTTGTTGTAGGCTTGTTAGCCGCATTCCTAGAACGCAGTTTGCTACAGAGAAACTCAGGGAGACGAGCGAAAGCTGGCAACAAAAATGCTCGCTGGGAAAATCATGTGCCAAAATGAAATGGAAATGCGTTGAGCAGTCTCTTTGCGGCCACAGAATATCACCTATTCGCGTCGGCCTCGCCTGTGACAATTGCTCTGGAGACAGGATTGTGCCGTCAAGTTCTCGCTGGTATTCTAACTACACACGCCTACACGGACGTCTTTTGTTGCAGAGTCAGCGCCAGAGTTACAGAGAAGAGGTGCTGGTTCGGTTTGACTTGTCGGATCGCGGAGTAGCGTGAGAATGGCTTCACAAGTCCCGTCACTTTTACTCTGGAGCGTGCCTCTAGCGGTCGAATCCCTGGCACCAAGTGTCATAAATAAAATAGCCACAGAACAGCCCGCTAGATACTACTAGTAGGCTAGTACTACTAGTCTGTACTCGACCTTGTGTGTCACGTTTATCACTTTATGCGCAGATGCACGTACCTGTACACATGTGTAGTACAATCATGTACATGACTACAAAGTACTTTTCTACCTGCACCTGTATGCCACTGAAACGCAAAGTCATACGTGACTGTACATGTGTGTGTGTGTGTGTGTGTGTGTGTGTGTGTGTGTGTGTGTGTGTGTGTGTGTGTGTGTGTGTGGTCTGTTGTGTGTGTACATGTATACTGCTCTGTACATTCGTGCATTGAGCACTCTACCTCGAGCTTCCTAATCCTAGTCTAGACCGGCCTTGTTTGTCACTGATGTATGTACGCATCGTCCTTTGCACCCGGATCCAGAATAGTGATTTTCAGTTTTTCACCCTAGAAAAATGTAGAAGGCAGTTGTGTGTAATGATTATGTCAATCCGTCTCATCACTGGAGTAGCTTGCCGCTGGTTTGGGTCTTTTGACATTTACTACTGTATTGCTACTGTAAATCTCTGTCATGTGCATGTGCATGTATCTGTTTTACAAAGTCTTCAACTTACTTACTTACAATGTACTTACTTACTTACTTCAAGTAACACGGAAGTAGGCGTACACGTGTACTCGTATATCAGCGTTAATTATTTTTACGACGGGCAATTGACTCTCCGAACATAGCTTCAGGGAACCTCAACGTCTTTACGTCTGTATCGGAAGCATACCCAGCAAGCAGCAAACAGTTTAAAAAATTGCCTCTGGCATTTTCCAGCGTTACTTCCGAAGCTAAAGTAGATAGTTGCACGGCTCAAATCATTTGGATGTCATTGAACGCACGATTTGTCGTTTTTCAGTCTTCTCTCCTAGACACCTCGCACCAAGAGTACATAACCACGTACTGTACTCTTGCTCGCACGTGTATTGCCAGTACATCGTCATGTATCTACCTCGATCTCGAACCTCTCACCGTATTTATATTATCCTAAATATTGATGCAAGACCTTGCAGTTGCACCCCATCGCTCGTTTTGCAAGCGGCTGAGGCCGGCGGGACGGTGGCGTGCCAGCGCGCCACCACGCACGGCACAGCCGTGCTGCTTCCGTTTTGCTTGGGCCCTCGTTCGCCTACCACAGACCTTGCCTGACCTAATATGGAACGGAGCAAGAAGGACATTACCATCGCTTAGCAGCATTCTCCACAAGCAGTTAGCCCAACTACGGTGCATGTTGCTTCTGCATGTATGTGTGGTAAAGTTGGTACATACATTCAGGCATTGGCAATGCACAGCGTTTTGCTAATGCGATCAGCGAGACGTTCGGCCTGTGGATTGGGTAGCAGGAGTTATCCACTTATTTCGAAATGCCAGCGCCCCGGCCCGGCATTCCGGGGCCAGGTTTCACCGTGACTGTGTACATATGCAAGCACATCTGGCACACGCGTCCCCACCAATAACCATAGCCCAACCGTACCGACCCGGCCGTAGCACCCCAGTAACCGACAACAAGGAAAGAGAGCGAAAGACGTTTCCTCCGACCTTCGACGGCGACATTGAAGCTGAGGTGCAACTATTCTCGCAAGGTCCTTTTCCACCTCCGCTTTTGAATCGATTGACTATATCCGTGATGAAAAAGACTAAGATTGGTAGCTTCCCAGGTGTACCATTGTGTCGATGGCGCTTAGTCTTTTGGAGACGCTGTGAGCGGCTGCCGACACTACGCAAACTGATTCAGAATGCGTGGGTGTGATCAGGAATCTATTTTTACCTGAACATTGATGTGGAGCAGTCATGTATTGTATGGTTGATGTGCATGTGCTTCATATTTTCAATGCCGAACTTCGAGGCCCACAACGCTTATGTCATAAGCATGATAAGTGGATGGTTGCTCAGACAGACAGTAGATATTCGTGTCTTGCACAGCGCAGCAACTAGCAAAGCACTGGGTGCTGTTTTCATACTCTTATTTTTAGATTTACTGGAATGGTATTGCAGCAGGTCGTCGGTATACCTGTACATGTACTTGTACATGCGTTCATATCATTGCCATGATTGGTCGAAGCAAGAGTAGACTAGTCTTGTCTTGATCGAAAATGTTCTCAGTCGGACGTTTTTTTGTCGAACGCAGTGATGCACAAGCCTGGTCTAGTAGTGGAATCGTAGGAGGACACTCAGTCACAAGCATACAGTCATGCACAAGCACTTGTATTGACATGTAGATCGGTGGCATTCAGCATTCATCCGCTTCAAAACATTCAAGTAATATTAGTTAGTTGTGTATAGCCAGTGAAATATTGCCGAATCGTCAATCATGACGAATAAAAAGCATCATTTTAGATGATCATGAAGTGGATTGTTCCAACTAAGTTCGTATTTTCGATGATGTACATGTACATGTATAAGAAGAAAAGAGGACTAAAGAGCTAAAAGTTATGCTATAATATCCACACACTACCAGATACTTTACAATCAGCTCATGTACATGAACATTGTACATGAACCCTACATTGTACAGTCATGTACACTGTGAGTTCTCGCTATTCTAGTCATGTACACTGGGAGTTCTCGCAGTATTCTAGTCATGTACAATGTCATGTACATGTAATGAATATAACTAAATGCGCACTCATATCACAACCATGGGGACGAATCATGTATTCCAGAACGTTTTCTTGTCACAATTATCAATGGAATTCGTGACTAAAGAGAATGATGAAACTACAATAGGATTTATACACTTGCAGTGGAACAGCGAGGATACAAGCATAGTAAGAAAAATAGCACAAACCTAGGAACAATTTGCACAGGTAATAAACTATAGGTGAGGTGAGAAATGATAGGAAATTCAGCAAGTGCAGCGTGACAATGGACATGCATGTGTAAGTGTGTGTGAGTGCGAATTTACTGGAATAGCGTAAGTGCATGGTTGTGATATGAGTGCGCATTTAGTTATATTCATTGCATTATTAAGATTATTGTCTCCACGTCGCCTTTTTTTCATGTACATGTACATGACATTGTACATGACTAGAATAAATATAATATTATTCGATTTAAAAATTGCAATGTCGTTGATGTACATGCACATGTGTATAGCCTGGGCCGAGGGGAACACTTTGAAGCCCATGAAGGCTTTCTTTCTTGAAATACAGTCATGTACTGTATATGAACAGTCTGGCATACACATACACTGTACATGTACTACCAAGAGTACATGTACATGTATGTCCTTGTGATAACTTTTGATCTAGGCAAATAACTACATGTACATGTATGCAGCGTTTTGATTTTTTCAGTGCAGCTACATGTACAGTCATGTACACAAGACAGAGCTTGGAAGCTTTGTTACAACTCTGAGTTTCACGTATTACTACCATCATCAGGCACAGTCATGTATCTTACTTCTTCTCTCTTCTTACTTCTGAGTAGTGTATCTACATTACATGTAGCTTAGTACAAACTACAAAGTGCTTAGTTATGTGGATCTACCTAAGTCCTTGCCTTGGCTTGGGCTAGATGCATGTGGGATCCGGAGCTGACCTAAACTAAAGCTAAGCCTACCTAAATTAAAAGCCTAAGCCTAAGGCTAAGGTCCTTGCCGGAGTCACACTTCTTTGTGGATCTGGTGTGAGGGTCGGCGTGACACTTTGACGGCCTGATTCATCGCGGTCAGAGTCCTGCATGCGCTCATTGCGCTGGCATCCAAAACGCGCACACGTAGACCGATCTATGCTACATGTAGCTGTCACTACTGTCTGTGTCAGTCGCCACCATGGCCACCCGCAGTGGAAACCTAGTGCCATGCCTGCGCTGCGAGGTCGCACCATTCACCCACGGAAAAATGATGCTGTGTGTTGAACAATGTCCGGTTGTTGCACGTAGTCGTACTCGTAGATCTCCCGACAGTCCGTGCTAGGTAAGTATACTATTAGTTGCACAGAGAAAATACAATGCATGACTGTCGACTGCAACGGCCAGGGCATCGCCCGCGTGTAGAACAAGCCTCTACTTCTCGAGCTGCAGCAAAGGTTCAGCACTGCAACTGCAACACACGCCGCCGCTATCCCTGCGTCTACACCTTGTAAACTGACTGTCTGTACACAGGTACAGCCTACACTACACTACAGTGACTGGAGTCAGTGCACTACGTAGTGGCACGTTCTAGGTTTTAGAACCCGCTCGAAATTATTTTGAGAGCATCATTGATAGAGAAGCGAGCCTCAACAGTCCAGGCGGCGCATAGCTACAATTTGTAGTGGCCTGCTTTTGACTTGGGGGCAGATAGACGACAGCTCATCACAGAAAAGGAGAAAAGACTTCTGCCTGGTACTACTTTCTCTGCATGCTTTGGCGAAGGTCGCGCGCTGTCAGCATTTTATCCAGAGATAGAAGACTGTGTTTCTCTCCGCTCTCATGCGGAGCGAAAGCAGCTGGGACACAAAGTCGCTGAGTGCAAGAGTGATACTGTAGGCATTCCATTCGTTTTGTTTACAATTCACGTACCGGCGCTGTGGTGCTTGGAAGGAAAGATAGCGCAACGGGACAGGGCACGGTTGATGTGCACCATCAGTGTATTACTTACTAGCGTTCACCCAGACTGCTGTGTGTCCTTGGCCCAGAACGCACTCCTGGAGTGAGTGGGTGAGTGTGACTGGTAGTGTGAGGCCATTAGGGTCTGTAGAACTGCTGTTATCTGCCGATTGGCGAAGTCACGACAGGACACGCTCTGGGGTAAGTGGCGGAACATAATCTTTTCAAGTGCTAGTCTGCATGTGCATGTTGTGTCGACTGGCGACTGTCGACGATGTCGTCCCTCCTCCCGACATGTGTCCGTCTGTGTTTGCTTTGCTGGAGTCCCAACTGTACTAGCATACAAACTAGAGTATTAATTTTAGCTTTGCCCCCACATGCCGTGCGTTCTGCATCTGGCACATGGCTCGATCAGTGCTGACAGTGGCCTGTGGAGAGCGGACGGCAAGTTTTCAAGTGGTGCCTGAACGAACAGAATGCAGTGGCTTCATTTCTGTACATAGGCCCTGTTTTGCCAAGCCTGACACTACGAAGTACGATTATTGTTGTGATTTGACATGGCTTTCCTCTAGCGTTCGTCTAAAGTAAAATCTGGTCTGCAAATTGTTGCTGTTTGGGTAGTTTATACAAAGAGATCTGCTTATAGATTTCTGGGATGAGCCATTGGATTTTACATGTTACTCGTGGTGACCGAGTGACAGTTTCATAATGCTGATATTCGTATCATAGATTCTACTTGTATTGTACTAGCTGGGGGCGTCACTGCGTGTACTTCGGTGTAGACTACACCTGGCACGATCGGAAGCCTCTCTCTCTCTCTCTCTTTTCACTGAGGACGTGACACTTGTGCCGTTCGGGTCTGGCAAGAGAGGCATGCAGGAGTTTATTATGATTTCGAGCGTTGCTATAATCTGCTCCCGCTCCGTGCCGATCGTTTTTGACGCGAGCATGAAGCTGACCGCCACACGTGCAGTATTTTGCGCTCTCTCAAACAGGCTGTGGAGGTGTCGCGTTGTATGTGTCCGTACTGTCGACTGTCTGGGGTTTGACGCGCGGTTGCCGTGTGTCTTGATGGGCACGCACATCGTTGTCCTTTTCGTCTTGCCAGATCCACGCAGCGGAGCGGAAGGAAAAAGTCGACAGTAAATACTTGTAACACGGGCCAAGTACAAGTGCTGAGTGAATGATAGAAAGGGTGGTGATCGGCGCGCTCCGTGTGTGTCTGTGTTCAAACTGAATCATGTCGGAATGCTGAGCATAGCTGTACTGATTACCCCACGTATCGCGTAGATCTACACCACCACTTATCACCAAAAATATTGGCCTTTTTACGAACTGTACAAGGCAAGAATGCGAAGAACTGCGTCGTTGCAAATGGATGAACGTTGTAGGGTGCAGTGAAGTGACGATACTACGGCTCGCTTAGAACTAGCTACGACTAGGGGCTCTTCTTGCTTGCGTCGTTCGTGTTGTGTTCGGGGCAATTTAGCCAGCAAGTATGTCAACTATTCGAGGGGAGGTTGCCCGCCTCGTTCATTGCCAGGCGATCAGCTGACAACTTCTGAGGTTTCTCGCGTGGCTGGTTTTGGCATGGGGCGGTCGCTGGTAGTATGCAGAATGTTGGTACCCGAGTCTGTACACCGTCACGGCAGCGTTTGTAGATAATAGACGGGCGTTCAGACGATGTGTGGGTTGCAAACGGTGTGGATCTGTAGACTGCAGTGTGTACTGAGTCTGTAGTGGACGAGAACAACTGACAACTACTTGTTGTGTTGTCTGATTTCGCACTGACATTTGCAGTGAGTCACGTCTGGTTGCTTTCAGCTGATGCCTGCCAGAGATTAGCCACAATAGTCTGGAAGTGTGTGGACAGCAAGCTGCTGCACTTTGACAGCTCCCACACTGTCCTTATCCCATGGCCATACTCACGCCCTGGCCCTGGTCAGGTCGTGGTGACTGAAGGCGACTTTCACAGCATACAATGTCAATAGTAAACGCACAACGCACGACGGCGTCAGTACTATTACTATGAACGACTCGACTCGTTCCCACAGACATCTGGGTCAGCAGAAGTATTCTCCAGGGTGGTCTCCAAGAGGAAATTCATTCACCTCGCATTATGCAATTGTTGACAGAAACAATACTCATTCTAGAGTCCGTCCGGTCTCACGTTGTAGTTGTACATAATCCGAATCGTATTGAATCACATCAAATCATATCCAACCAATGGCACATCGGACGTTATCTCTCTGCAGATCACATCAAAGCAGGCGAGTGGGGAAGGCCATGCTATGTAGATAAGAGAGCCCGCTATGGCCGCCCAGCGCTGCATCTTCAGTTCTAGTTCCACCCCTTCGACTGATAGTGAGAGAAGCAAGCAATGAAGTGAAGGAGGGACCCATGCATATTGTTATTTCACTATTTACCATGCTGGCTTGGGAAACATTTTTACGTACGGGTACTTCATTTCAACTTTCATTGTATGTGTACAGTACTTGGAAGTATTCAGCATCCATGGTAAAGTAGCCACTGGGCATCGCCACCCATGGTTAAGTAGGCGCTGGGCATCGCCACCCATGGTTAAGTAGGCGCTGGGCATCGCCACCCATGGTTAACCCATTCAGCGCTACTGGGCCTTGCCTATGGTACTCTGCATATAAAATGCTAAAAACAGGGCCAATAGCAAGTTCTAAAACTCCAGGGTTCTGGCAACTGGGGTTCTCAAATATTTTGGAAATGATTGCCAAGACTATCAACTACAGGGTGACAGAATCGATACAGTCCCCAAAAAGAATAGCGCTTCACAATAGGGGACGCAAGTTTGCTCGAATGGTGTGAAATACGCCAAATGCGTGAAATTGCAGCTGAAAGATCGCTGAAAAGAGAAGAAATAAAGACTCATAGTGTTTCCAAGCTGGATTCGTACCAGCGACCTATCGTACAAGAGGCAGGATCATGATCCAACTGACTAACAGTGCTTTTACACACCAAACAGTGCCAGAAATCACTATATATCCCATGACGTCTATAGACGTCATCCCGCGCGTGGGGGGCACTTTCAATGACGTCTATAGACGTCATCAGCGTTCAATGGGTTAAGTAGGCGCTGGGCATCGCCACCCATGGTTAAGTAGGCGCTGGGCATCGCCACCCATGGTTAAGTAGGCGCTGGGCATCGCCACCCATGGTTAAGTAGGCGCTGGGCATCGCCACCCATGGTTAAGTAGGCGCTGGGCATCGCCACCCATGGTTAAGTAGGCGCTGGGCATCGCCACCCATGGTTAAGTAGGCGCTGGGCATCGCCACCCATGGTTAAGTAGGCGCTGGGCATCGCCACCCGTGGTTAAGTAGGCGCTGGACATCGCCACCCATGGTAAAGTAGGCGCTGGACATTGTGTGGACAGTAGATTGTAATGAATGACATTCAAGTCACCTGGTAGGATCGAATGAAAGTATTCATGTACGCCTGGCCATGTCACAGACGGGGTTGTCCATTTTTTAGTCATCATGTTGTGTTGCTGTCTCAGTGTCGTGTTGAGTGATATCATGTCGCAGCCGGTTACCTGTGGCCAGTATGATGATGGCATGGGGTTGCATGTTTTGTGCTTGGGGCCTTGTTGTGAAATGATGTGTTGTTTTCCTGTGTTATGGCATTCCCCAAACTGTCTCGTCTAGTCGCGTGCATGTGTGATATGAGCATGCGCGATTTTGTAGTCGAGAGTCCTTTTGTCAGTCTTCATGTTCGTCCCTTTGAGCGTTGTCTCCATTTCCGTATTGTCAATAATATTATGTAAACCAAACGAGTCTTGTCCTTTGTGTCCTGCGTCCCGGGGAACGGAATGGCTGTGATTCCGTTACAGCCTGTACAGAATTACGCTGTGACATTGTACAAAACGCGTCGTGTAGATCTACAATTCATAGGTCGGTACAAACTAGAGAGACACTGGCTTGCTTTTGTGATGTACCATTGGAGTGCTGACTTGGCTGTTTGGAGTCTCCATGGATATAATCAACAAATTGTGCACTAGGCTTCTCCATCCTTAAATTGGACGTACCGGTATGTTAAAAGTCTATACCGCATCGATACCGGTACATGCAGAGTATATCCGTATGGTGTATCTATCGATAGCGGTATGAAAACTGGCAACTATCGATAGTGACAGCGTCTTTGGTGCCAGCTCACCCACACATGCATTGCCAACAGCATTTGTCCGGTTTTTGAACTTCTTCACCGGCGTGAGTGCACTGAGTGGAGTTTTTAGTTGAATGTCTCAATTTGCCAATACCCTGAGACCTATGTTTGGTGGTGGCACTAAGCTGGTATGTGAGTGATGTGAACATCTTCTGTTAGTGTTCTTGCATGTTCACATGGCACACATTGGATAGTGGCTGTGCGCACGGAGGCCGCCAGTCTTCCGCGACAGTCCCATCTGAGCGATGCAGATATGCAAGTCTGTATGTGTAATCTGTTGTCATACACCCTGAGAAATGCATGTACTTGCACAAGTAGCGCCGGATGGAACCAATGTAGTGCAGCATGTACAGGCTGAACCGTACTCGTACTTCACTAACCAGTTACCTTGGTTACCATGGTTACCTTGGTCATTCTGCCCATTTGCGTGCTCCTAGCTACTGACAACGTGCACTGAACAAGCAGAACAGCTGTTTGGTCGCTTAGTCTACTCACTAATAAAGAGCATTTCAGTACGAGGTACACGATTTGACATTAGTGAAGGCCCTCTTTCTTGAAGTGTTTGGGGCACGACCCTACTCAGCTAGTAGTGCGCTCATTGTTGCCTGGACCAGGGAACTTGAATTCTGCATGATCTACTTGTAAATGTACATTGAAACAGAACCAGGCACAGCTGACTTTCATGTGGCGGGATGCCTGGAGACTGCCAGGCCTGAATGTGTTTCCAGTATAAGTTCTTCCTCGTATCTAGTCGCCTGCGTGGTGTCGGGACGCGCAGGGAAACTCAAGGTTGTCCACGCGCTGCTGCTCAGGCTAGCGTTGCCCACGTGCTCAATACTCAAAGCAGTATTCCACAATGGCCACGGGTGTCATTGCTGTTGCAAACCTCTACAAGCGGCATAGCACCAGCAATATATGGGCAAGAAGTGCGTACACGTGTCTGGGCATACTTGACCCGGTTTGGCAGCACACATAGCTTTCCTATCAAGTTGTTTGGTGTCATTCCAGAGGAGCATGAATCGATGAAAATCAGAACTATTCTCTGGACAGGGTACCATCACAATACTGCCAATCGTCCCCGCGCACCGTGTATCATGGCACATGTCTAATTGTTACGCAAGGGGCTCATTCTGCGGGGTGCTCATGAAGTTGTTCGCGGCTCCATTGCATCTATTGTTCTCCCACTTTCGTGTACCAATGTCTGGTTATGGGTAAAGGTGATAAGGTTTGGGGACAATCACGCGGGTACATACAATGCAACGCAAAGCATTGTATTGTGTCTTTGCGGGACACACTGGGGACGTTGCAGCGAAAAGCAACAAGACTCAGTGCTTAGTGTCCTTGTGAAGTTTAGTGTCTAGCAATGATCTTTCTCGTCATGTCGTATTGTCCACCTCGATCTGTTTGAATGCAATGTTCATCTGGTGGTTTTAACTCAGTTTGTATGGCTCCGAGCTAAAAACAAGGGCACAACCTGCCTACATAAGCCCTGGCATCTATACTTCACTTGCTTGTCGCCATCGAATGGCTTAGATATCTCTAGTCTTGGTGCTGATGGTTCCCTCTTCTTGCGCTTTGCCGGCATGTAAGAGATACTCCTGATGGGTGTCCTTTTCAGTCTTTCAGTGCAAATAACCTGTACATTTTTTCTGGACCTCTCATCTGTTGTTTTCTCAGAACTAGTAGTGCTGCAGTCGACTGATGAGCCATCATGCCTGAGTGCCAGACTGCAACCTCGCCAACCTCGCCAATGTCCATTCCGGACGCCCAGCGGCGTGGCCGTGAGTGCTCCACCACGTCCAGTGGCAGCGCAAAGAGTCCGGAAACCGCCGTGCCAAGCAAGCCATCGACGACGTCAACAACAACAGCTACTACCAGTAGACCAGGCAGCGGTGGTAGTGCCAGTGCCGCTCCATCCAGCCGACCGTCCTCAGCACCGGATTGCGGTGGACAACAGCATCGGCGCCATCATCGGCACAAGCAGCTGAGAGCTGTGGGACCGTACCTACTGGGCAAAACCCTGGGCAAGGGGCAGACTGGTAAGGACCTGTTTACATGCCTGCCGTATTTTCCAGGGTATATGCCGCACTGGCGTATAAGCCGCACTGGAGTATAAGCCGCACTGGAGCATAAGCCGCACTAGAGTATAAGCCACACTGGAGTATAAGCCCCCCCCCCCCCCTCCTCTACTTTTTGCCACGAAATACCAACATCTTCCCTATTTATCGCCCCTAATTTGATCATTGGAGTATAATCCGCAACCCTTTTTTGGGTGAATTTTGAGTTTTCAAAGTGCGGCTTATACTCCAGAAAATACGGTACTTGTGGCGTCATCAACATTCTAGTTTGAATAGAGCAGGTATGGGTTCTGGCTTCTTAGTGAATGAGACCAATCCAGGGTCTGTTTCAGGTGGGTATTTTTTTCCTTCTGAGAAGGGACATGCAAACTTCAAATTGGAAACAATCTACTGGCACCCCATCTCACATGCACACCATCTTTGCTTCAATCTATGTTTAATATCTGGCTTATTTTGTTTTTCGAAAAATTCACTGATTGATGATTCATGGCAGCAGTGCATATGCATGTATGTGTCTTTAAAAGGCATCCCCATCAATGATAATGTATCATGCGCTTTTTCTCAGGACTGGTTAAGCTCGCCACGCATTGTAAGACGAAAAAGAAAGTTGCCATCAAGATCATCGACCGCTCCCATGTCAAGGAGTCAGTCGTGCGAAAGGTTAGTACGCCTGCATGCTCGTTCAGTCATCTGTGTGATGTCTTGACATTACCTCCTTTCTTTCTCCGGTAGTGTGTTGGTTGTGCGAAGAGTGTAGTCAGTGCAGAGCCGGCCTGGGCAAGTGCCTTGGTCGGGATATGTCGAACAACCCCTTTATAACCTTGTTGTGCCTTCAAAGACTTGCAATGCTGTCTTTGATCGTTTGCAGCTATAAAATCCCTTTCTGGAAAGGGTGTTACCCATAATCATCTTGAGTCTCTGTATGGCAAAGTAACATTCTTATGACTTTGCCGAGGTGGCTTTCCAGGCAATGTTTGATCACCTGCTGCGATGGGGGTCTGTAGGACAGAACTTGCATGCGGGTTCCTTCGCCTCATAGGATGTTCTTGTTGCCTGTCAGGTATTTATAGTTGTTGTGTGAAGTGTCAGCCAAGGCAATTTTAGTCATATTGTGTGTATTCAGATGGAGACACATCCTTGTACTAGGACAGGAAGTCAGAACAACTGATGGATCTAATAGGCTGCCTATGCACTGCCATTGTCTTTTGTCCAACTTTCCCCTCCACCCAGTCACATTTAGCACAAGGAGTGCCATGCATGTTGCACTTGTATGACTTCAGGAGAGGGAGGGGGGGGGGGGGGGTATACCTTGCCAGGTATACTGAGATCCGTGTGTATGCTATGCACAGCCTACGGTCTGCATGGCCATGCACTCCACACATACTGACATACTGACATACCTCTACTAGTATTAGACCTAATGCATTGTCGTACTTGTATACAAAAAAAATATCCCTGCCTTCTTTGTCCTCTAGTAGTCTAAGGATTGCCCTGCAGCTCCAGAGCTCCTTTATATTGTTTTTTAATTGTCTGATGCACAAGCTTAGTTGCTAATCACTTGCGACAGTGCTCGATGCTGTGGGGCAGAGCCACGTTGTTCCATCGCTGACTTGTGTACAGTGTAATGGTCTGATGTACTATGTTCATATGTGTACATTCATGTATGTGTGTGCGTGTATGTGTTATGTAGGTTGAGCGGGAGATTGTCGTCATGAAGCTTATACAGCACCCGCATCTCCTGAGACTGTTCGACGTCTATGACAACACAAAATATCTGTAAGCAGTGTGGTTTTCTTTTCTGCCTTTAATACCGTACGAGAATACTCTACTATAAAGCCTGTGCCGTTGGATGTACATCGTGTATAGTGTGTTGAATGCTTGGATTTCATGTCTATCTGCTCTGAAGTAAAATGTGTTCAAGTCTTGTTTGTGGCTGCCTATTGTCATAATTTGCCTCTCTGGCTTCATCCGCTCTATCTATTCTGTCCGTGTATAGCTTCCTGGTCCTGGAGTATGTCGAGGGTGGAGAGCTATTTGACTACTTGGTGAAGAGGGGACGGTTATCGCCGAAAGAAGTAAGTCACACACACACACGCACACACACACACACACACACACACACACACACACACACACACACACACACACACACACACACACACACACACATACACATACACACACACACACACACACACACACACATACACATACACACACACACACACACACACACACACACACACACACACACACACACACACACACACACATGCACAAGCAACATAATTATTGGAACTTCTAACGTTAATAATGCATGTGTGTGATCGTGTGGCACTTGGGCATGGCATAGGGCATGATGAATGTAATGGTTGGTGTGTTGTACGATGTCATGTGGTCATGTCATGCGGTGATGTCATGTGCTATGACCTGCTCTTGGTACTGGTGACTTGAAGTAGTAATGATATGAAGGATGGGTAATGAGCAATGAACTGTACTCTTCCTTTCGCCGTTGTACAATCTAGTTTGTCTATGTGCTCATGCATGCGCGTGTGTTTAAAATGCAGGCGCGGCGTCTATTTCGACAGATCGTGTCGGCAATCAGCTACTGTCATGATCACAGCGTGTGGTGAGTTGGCGAGTAATGTGTTTTGGCCGCGGAGAGTTGATGCTCAGTACAATAGGCTCTCGGGTAATAAGAAGAACGCACACATGGAAGACAAAAGTCGCTCTTGATTAATTGCTACTTGTAGAGTTTCATGCCAATGATAGTCTTTAGTTTACTCTTTAGGCACCTTAGACATTCGTTGCATTTTTCACTTTGTGTGGCTCTCGTCCGTTCTTGTTTTTGACTGCAGCCACCGAGACTTGAAGCCAGAGAATCTGCTTCTCGACTCAAAGAATGACATTCGCGTTGCTGACTTTGGAATGGCTAATCTGCAGATTGAAGTGATGAGAACAAGTTGTGGGTAAGTACAGTCGACTCCTGATATAACGAGCACCATTGTGCAGGAGATTTAGTTCTTTAGCCGCCGAAGTTCATTATAACAGAATATGCACCTACACTGTGGGTTCAAACTGGGACATGGACAACGGTTTGCTATGGTCATGAAATTCGCTATCTCTTAGCCTGTCAAACCCTATATATAGGGTTTTCAGCCGCGCGTTCTATCTTGAGCTCTCTTGAGAGCCCACTTGGCTGCTATGGCAACTAGACGCCTGGGCCTACATACGTAGAATGTACGTAGACCCGGGTGCTCGAATGAGACACAGGGTACCAAAACAGAAACAGCCTGAAATTGTACCTAAACTTGTTCCGATTTCGTTTAGTTTTCACAAATACCATCAACATACGGCCCGCTAACGGTATGCCAAATTTCAGAGCTGCCCGGTAAACGGTTTTTGAAATACTCGCGACCCACTTTTTGCTGGGTCCTTGATTCGAGGATGTGGGTCTCCTGTACGGTGCTTCCAAAGACCTGCTGAATCTGCGGCTCCACTGACCATCTTGCTCTCAAAAATGAAGTAGTAAGTTACTACACCCTGCCCTCAACTGCCATACCAAGCGTAGACGATGGTAGACCCGTGTGCTTGAATCAGAGACGATCTGAAGAGTTTGCTGTTTCTGATTCGAGCACCCAATTTTCAAATAAAAAATCCGAAGGAAATACGACCATTTTACTGCGTACTGTAGCTTGTGTTGTAGCGCACCCAGGTTCTGAATTCCTGCTGGTTGGGTCAAGCCAGACTCCCTTCCCTGTTCCATCGCCTCTCCCAAAGTATATTCTGACATTGTTGAGATTTACAGATGAGAAATTTCACACCTGTCAAATCGTTTCTGATTCGAGCACCCGGGTCTACGGTTCTCTTGCTGAAGACCGTGATCATTTTGTTGCTGTTTTCTTCGAGTACGGTTAGTTTTAGTGCAGCGCTGTCGTAAAAAATTCTAGACCCTATATCTAGGGTTTGATTTTTCACGATGGAGGAAGAGCAACTTGAGTTAGTGGAGACGAACCCGGGCGATGAGAATGTTCCTGGCGACCTGGTGTCGACTCAGGATGATGATGTCGATGTTCCAGCAGCGTCGGATGCTCCTGAAGAAGAAGGCGAAGCATCAACAGCGGCTGTCGCAGCTGCCGCTCCCGCCATTGCCGTTTCTGCATCAGCTGATCCACACGTGGATCGGAAGCAGCAAATGCGGCGACACTCGCGCACGTCGTAGGAGCGCTCCTGCTAACATCAATGGCAATGCAGTGAAAATATCAAAAAAACCAAGTGAAACTGTGTGTATTGTGTGCCCAGTTGTGAGGACTGATCAAACCCTTTCTTTAGGGGTCCTAACCCTATATATAGGGTCTTTATGTGTAGCGTTATGTCAAACCCTATATATAGGGTTTCCTGGTGACAGGCTAAGAGATAATGTGAGTTCGTTATAAGTGGAGTCGACTGTTGTACGGATGTCACAGTGTTACCAGCAAGACTTCGAGAGTAGTGTAACAGTTTGATATGCGTTTGTAGCCGGTGAAAACTTTGCAATAAGTGACCAAATTGAAGCTGGCCAGAGACGCAATTGCCTTATAAACATGCGCAGCCGGTGAAATCTCGAGTAACCCAATGCCTGAAAATACTGTACCAGTGAAACGGCTTAGCCTGCCTTCCATGTATCAATGCTTAGTGTGTGTGTGTGTGTGTGTGTGTGGCAGTGCAGCTTGCTAGTCACAGGAGCCACGTGACTGATAGTCAACTCGTCTTTGCTCTTTCTTGTCCACTGTTTGTATCTCCGTCTAGCTCTCCTCACTATGCTGCTCCTGAAGTGATCATGGTAAGCTGTGTGGAATAGTGTGGGTGGTTCAGTGTGGCACATGGCAGATTCACACAACACCGCACATGCTTGACACAAGTAGCACTCTGTTGATTGTTGATAGTGTAGAAATGCACAGAGTTGAAGTGAACAATCAAGCTCCGCTACTTTTCCACAGACATGGGTAGAGTGTATCAATGGGGAGGGGTGGTATAACTATGATTTTACGCAGAGAAGTCCCTGTTCAATTACTAGTCAACTTACTTCATTGCCCGGTTTTATAACTCGGGGATTGCTGTGCAACGGTTGTCAGTTGGAACGGATAGACACTGTCCTCCATGGTCATGCTTGTTTGTGTCTGCTGGTGTGTGTGTGTGTTTGTGTGTGTGTGTGTGTGTGTGTGTGTGTGTGTGTGTGTGTGTGTGTGTATGTGTGTGTGTGTGCGTGTGTGTGTGTGTGTGTGTGTGTGTGTGTCTGCTTGCGTGTTTACCATTGCCAGGGTGAACACTATGACGGTTTCAAGGCTGATGTGTGGAGCTGCGGTGTGATACTGTACGCCTTACTAGCTGTAAGTACAGTGTAACCGCTGTGACAGTACATCTTTAAAAACTCATAGTTGAAACACAATGATGATTCCCCTTTTTACAGTCTGTGGTTTGTACTACTAACGCTAAAATACGATATTCAAACTTCTCTAATACCTGTTGACGTTACTTGTGATGGCGCTTTACCCGCTAGTGTCAGACTGCCAGTGGACAAGCACATTGGTGCATCGGTGTGGTCAAGCAGCATTACATTGCATTGCTGCTGAGTCTGAGAAATCAACAAACACGCGGCATTGCCGTGTTTCGAAGACTTAGTGTTTGGTCTATAGCACTGTTGTTCTCTCAGGAATTCATGGTGCTGCTACTTTTCAGCTTAGAGGGATTTGTTGCCGTTGACTGTTCTATCTGTGTGGTTGTAGGGTCAGCTGCCATTTGATGACCCCAACCTATCCACTCTTCTGGAGAAGGTGAGTGGCAAATGCTGCGGTAACCATGCTGGACGCCATGGCTCTCTGGCCATGATCGGGCATGGAGGAATGTGGCACTGTGTTGTAGCGTACATGTACTATACCGCACAAGAATGGGCTGAAACTGATCGTGCATCTGCTACACTCCAAACCAGCATAAAAATAGTGTCGGTTTAAACTGTGTACGTGATCTTGCACATGCCCAGGCTCACATGAACATACCCCCCCCCCCCCTTCCCTCACTCCCCTCACCCTCACTCCCCTCCCCTCACCCTCACCCCCCCCCCCCTTCCCTCACTCCCCCCCCTCACCCCCTTCCCTCACTCCTCTCCCCTCACCCCCTTCCCGGCTCACTCCCCTCCCCCTCACCCCCTTCCCTCACTCCCCTCCCCTCACCACCCACCCCCACTTCATACACAGTCGTGGCCAGACGGAAATTCAGTGCGTGAGTTCAGTCCATTGGACACGCTTGGTGTTCACTCCGCACCAAGTACAAAAGATGTTCTGCCTACTGTTTGTGTGCAGGTGAAGTTTGGCCACTTTGAAATGCCAGCCTACTTCCCACCAAAAGCACAGCGCTTGATCTTCCGCATGCTGGAGAGGAACCCAGCCAATCGCATTTCAGTAAGTACCAGTGCCATCTGCTAATTCTTTCGCTTTCAATTTCTTTACTTCAAAGTACATGAATAGAGAGTTAGACGGCCTAGAAAAAGAAATTCACACTGAGTTCACGTGAGACTCAGCTGGAGGCCGAGTTTTGCGCATCCGTAGGAACGCCACCACTCTCTATGGATGAAGGGGCAGATGCAGCTCCTAAAGCGGTGGGAGGTGAGTAGGTCAGACCCAACACAAAGACGGCCGTAAACTACTGTACAAGCCATTATTCTAACGAGGCGCATATATAACGATTTCCCAAAATTGACTAGTTTACGTGTACCAAAGGTAACGATTCTCACTCATTCTCAACGCTCAATAGGACAGTATATGTATCGATTTCTGTATAATGATTTCTATTTTAACTGTTAACGACAGATTTCTCCTCGTTAACTCGTTAGAGTTAGCACATCGTTATATATAAGGCTTTTACAGTACCGCAATAGATATCCTTAGCTAAAAAAACGTTAACGTAAACGCAAACCTTTCCGTACTTCGGATCGTTCAAGCTGACTTTTCCCTTAGCACAAAGTACGTTATAGTTGAGACGAAGTAGTCGTGACAACCATGGCGATATGAATTTTCGTGGAAACAGGTGCGGGAAATTCAAAATTTTGAACCAGGGATTAGTTTGCTGTCGTTCCGAAAGAATACCTTGGCGAGATCTTCCACTCTGGAATAGCAAAAGCACGGCGAAAATAAGTTTTCGCTGTTCCCAGGTCCTTGGAAAACCTTTCCTTTCCTCAGGAGTGCCGTGGAACTGGTCCTTCGTTTCCCAGATGGGATAGAGGGTGAAAGGCACGAAGCAGAGGACGCAGACATTGTCAACTGAAAGGCAAAACTCGCCGAAAAAAGCTAAATATTCACAAGAGGAAGTAATCTCGACTCTCATCTCGATCTGGACGTGCTTTTTATCTCCCGCCAGTTACAAAACAATGAGAGTTTTTGCATTTTTTGCAGAATTACCATAACGAACGTCGGCCCGTTATTTTGAGCTCTATAACGTTTTTCCGTTACCCGATAACGTCTTTTGTCACAGCTGGGAGTGAGTACCGTAAAGGTTAGCGTTATCGTACTTTTGCTAAGGATGTCTAATCTGCGTTCACTGTGCTTTGCTTGAAATACCAGCGTGCAGACGAAGGTTTGACATGAGTGATAGTCTACAAAGTATATTACATACACTGATGGTCTGGTGCACAATAATAAGATAGCGGCTGTGGAAGAAATGCCTAGCTACATCATTTCATCTTCTGTCTTTCACTGTGTTCTGCTTTATAGCTGAAGCAAGTAATGAAGGATGACTGGTTACAATGGTAAGCACTACTGCTGATGTAATTGCTTGTACCTGTAGTTTCCCAGTGCTTGCTGCGCTCATTTTGCCCCCCCCCCCCCCCCCATCCCTCGTTCAACCTGTATCACACCCCCCCCCCCTCCCACCGTACCTGAGTATAGTCTTCTTTGAATTTCCCTTGCACCTCATGCCACTTCTATTCGCTTGCTTGTTATTGAGCATCTCTGCTAATTTGGTTAAAAAAATAAAACCGTAGGCTGAGCAGCATTGCCCTTGCCTCCATGGTCATTGTCCTATTTCTGTCCATCAGCTCTGTGTTCTCTCTGTACTGTATGTGTCTACCACACACACACATACACACAGGGACCAGGAAACGAGTGGTATCAACGAAATGCCTGGCCCCGAGACCGAGACGATTGAAGCTGTACAGGTAGGTCCTAGTGCAGTGTATATCTCAGTACTTATGCCTGAGAGAGAGAGAGAGAGAGAGAGAGAGAGAGAGAGAGAGAGAGAGAGAGAGAGAGAGAGAGAGAGAGAGAGAGAGAGAGAGAGAGAGAGAGAGAGAGAGAGAGAGAGAGAGAGAGAGAGAGAGAGAAGGAGAGAGGAGAGAGAGAGAGAGAGAGAGAGAGAGAGAGAGAGAGAGAGAGAGAGAGTGTTTTCCCGAATTGAATGAATGCAGAATGTTGAAGTCAGTGAACATTCGTCTTTTTGGTAGCTTTGGTTTTTTTGTTTACTTGAAGACTCTATTGGGTTGTCTATCAAGTACCCTTTAGCAATTATTAAAGCAATGCCCATCAGTTGATCCGTTTTCTGTTCAATGTGTGGCTCTGTATAGACGTGGAAGCTGAAGGATGGTGAGATCGACGATGACATCTTCAAGAACATGCTGTCGTTTACCTGTTTCAAGGACAAGGACGAGCTCATAGCAGCTCTGACCTGTGAAGAGTGAGTAGTTATGTGTCTCCCGGTCTCTGTGGTGTTGAAGCTCCTCCGTGTCACAAGTTGCTGGCATATTCAATACAACAGGACGCAGCCAAACTACACGCCGAATGCTGCCGCTGCAGCTTACCCTTGTTCAACTAAACAACAGTAGCAAAATTGGTGCTGATAACCATTAGTTTCGATTTTTGAACAAGTCCATTTTTTCTTTGGAATGCAAACAGTGAATGCTTTATGGTTCTTGGCTGAGTCTGTCCTTCATTGTTAGAGCTTGACTGTGGTCGTATGTATGGTACAGTGCATGAGCCGCACAGCTTGTCACTCGTATCTCACCACCGGCTGTGTGACTTACTGGTTGCTTCCACCTCTGATCATGTGTGCGTCTGCAGGCGCAACATGGAGAAGGCCGTGTACTTTCTACTGCTTCGTCGCAAAGGGGAAAATCCCGCCGTGTCTGATGACAGTGACATTGAAGACATCAACTTTGGTATGCTCAGCTTAAAAGTGCATTGCATTCTGTCAATTTCGTTAACTTGTGCTAAACTGATCAATTGCGAGTGGTCTCTAATCAGTTACCTATCACTTGTAGCAGTTCTCGAGGATCTCGTAGTGGAATGCTCAGGTCACTATTTGTGAATCTACCCGACACGCAAGATTTGATTGTAGCCTATTGCGAGAATGGCAATTTCACCCGACCGGGCAATTTGTTGAAGCAAGGCCACTGAAAAAATGAAACAAATCTACTGATTAATGACAGTACAGACTAAAAGCGAGTCAAGACGTCCAGCAAGTACTCTTCTTGCTTAGATTATGGTGGGAGAATCGTGTGGCTACGTCGAAAGTGGTTTAGCCCTCTGAATGGTTGCGTGAATGCATTCTCAAACTGTCAGACCTAGAGATTCCCTAGATTACTGCATGCATTTCATTCGGGACTCTTCATTACCGTATTTCCCCAATTATAAGTCGCACTCGATTATAAGTCGCACCCCCATTTTCAGGTTTGAGCCATATTGTTTTGATATATTCAATTCAGTAGTAACTCATGCTCGATTGTAAGTCGCACCCCTTTTTTACTCTTGATGTTTTGGGTAAAAAGGTGCGACTTATATTAGGGGAAATACCGGCGGTAGGTGTTGCCCTCCTCCAGGCCTCTCGTGGTGCACTTCAGTTCCCATGCAGGCTCTTGTCAGCGGTTGTTTCGTACTGTTTTTTTTGTGCTGTTTTCGTTTCCTTGTGCAGAGCACAATGGCTACCGGTTTGACGCACGGAAGCGAACGGACTCCGTCTCCTCCACACACGAGACGCGCGCATCGTCGGTGTCCTTGGGAAGCTCTTTCAATGGACAGCACCAGCAAGAAGTTCGCAGCGGCAGCAGTGCCAGTGCTGGCAAGGCTGCTCCGGAAATGGCCATGGCTCGGATTAGTGACCAGATGCGCTCCAGAACGTGAGTGGAAAGAAAATGACTTCCAGTGCAGTGCTTGTGTGTGTGTGTGTGTGTGTGTGTGTGTGCATGCGTGTGTACGTGCGTGTGTGTGTGTGTGTGTGTGTGTGTGTGTGTGTGTGTGTGTGCGTGTGTGTGTGTGTGTGTGTGTGTGTGTGTGTGTGTGTGTGCGTGTGTGTGTTGCCTGGACAGTACCTGCTACCAATGCTGGAAGTTGGCTATGACTGAGAATGACCATCACATGACAGTGCACGGTGCTTGTCGGAAGAATGCTGCATGCCGACAGTGCTCAGACACATGATTGTGCTGTTGAGAGCGTATGAAATAGCCGAAAAATGTTGGCAAAGAGTGTTTTCCCTGTGTACCATGAATATCGTTGTCAACCATGTTTCACCTGCCGCTTGTTTGTCTCATTTTGCATGCAACTGCAGACACAGCGACTGTTCACCGTTGTTGAAAGCAAAAACACAGGCAGTACTGTAAGTACATGATAGTCACAGTGATGAAGTGATGATGTGGTCAGTGCATTCACTGCGCCTGACATTTGCTCCGAACTAATACCCCGGGCACTTTTGACCAAGCCAGTGACCAGTGGAGACTTTGAAATGTGTTTGGGAATGATAGAAACATATTCAAATTCGAGATGTTCAAGAGCTTGAAGTATTTCCTTCTTATCAGTATGATTGCATTCTTGTCTCCAAGGAAACTGTTCAAATATTCAAACTGCGTGTGTTTTGCACTGCACACACCAGGCGTGTAACACCACTACCGCCCAACACGGGCGCCGTGCGCCGAGACAGCAGCCCATCGGCAATGAGCTTCTCCAGCCTGCCCGGATCGCCGCGCGAGTCACCGCGCTCCTCTCCGCGAGGCCGCCGTCGCCCCAGCGGCAGTATCCCGCCACCGCTCAGCCTGACGGCCGAACGACCACAGCGCTACAGTGTGGGTGCAGCACCTGTGACGTCACCTGGAGCTACGCCAGCAGCGGGTCCAGTGAGTAGTCCCCGTGTCACTACATCACGATGTGGAACTTTATACGGGTGCCCAGTAATTACTTTTGATTGACACACATACACGCACACGTATGCACGCGTGAAAGCGAGAGAGAGAGAGAGAGAGAGAGAGAGAGAGAGAGAGAGAGAGAGAGAGAGAGAGAGAGAGAGAGCGCACACATGCATACATACGCATGCATATGTAGCTCCTATGTGAACCTGTGTTCATGTCTGACCATATTTGTCTGCTTTCTTCATACTTTGTGTCGTTTCACAGGGATCTGTCTGTAGCCCACTGGTCAGTCCCCCTATGAGCCCACACAGCAACAGTCCAGGTCTGCTAAGACGGCTCAGCCAGGCTTTCATCGGCGGAACACCCCAATTTCATCGCAGGAATCTTGACGGTAAGACAAGTGGGAAGTGAAGTGAAGTACATGTACATGTACTTGTATCGATGTAACTCTCCAACCATACTAGTCCAGGCATTTGGTGATGATTTGTTCATGCATCACAATAATTATGATCTTCCAGTGCAGGCTAAACTGGCTTACCTTTTAATGGACAGAAGTGTGGTAGTAGTATTTGAGCACATGGTGCTGAAACCTGTATCGGTGGGGTATAGAAGATGTGGTTCCTGGACGATATTGGCCAGTGCACATAGTCTCAGAAAAGCATTGCACACAGCTGGTATTGGCAATGTGCACTGTACCAGGCATGTGTCTGTCTGCGGTGTGTTGTGACAACCGTGCTCTGTTTGGTGGTGCCTTGCAGGTCAAGAAGTTACAGCGCTGGAGAGGAACTCACTCGACACACCCAGCACACCAACCACGTAAGAACGTCGCGATGTTCTGATGCAATATTTCACGCTGCCTTCCCCGAATCACCGTACAGGGTGAATCAGTTGACTAGCACGTGTTATAGCAAGTGTTTCCATGGTAACCATGTGGCATGTGCCTTCCAGCTTCTGTTTTTCCTTTGTCCCATCTTCCAGTTCATCGCTTATAGTGAGTATTCTGTATACGCGTGTTATCATGCAGGATCAAGCGTAGCTGGTTTACCAATCAACTTGAGTGTGACGAGGTACGTTTGCCCTCTAACGCTAAGGGCTAAGCCGTGCGGTGTGTATCCACCATTGCAATAATACAATTAATAATAATACTTGTAGCATGCTGTCGGAAGGGCTTGAGCCACTGATGTCTGGTCTTCTTGATGGTAGTCAAAGTATAGCCGCAGAAGTGGATTGGTCTGCATCCATTGCACATGCTGCTTTAGGTTGGCCAATGTTGTTCACCAGAAGAGGAGGTGCGTCTCGAACAGAGTACATATGATATGCTACCTTTGACTTGTCTTTTCACTTTGAATAGACCCAGCTCGAGCCGCACTGTGGGGGTAGACCAGTTGAAAAGCACATGATAAAACAGTTGTAGTACAGTACATGCATCCCACCCTGATTTAATATTGTCTTGTCTGTCTGTCTGTCTGTCTGTCTGTGTGTGTGTGTGTGTGTGTGTGTGTGCGTGCGTGCGTGCGTGTGGCGTGTTTCACGTGCAGATTTATTTCCTAGTGGACCGGAAGGACCTGGCAGCGCTGAAAGCCGATATCAACGATGTGCTGAAGGTAAGGCGAAGGCATGTGTATGTCCCATGATCCTGAGCAGCCACGGGGCCAGGATGTGTAATGAAAATAAGGCACGGTTAAAAATAGGAATGCTTACGGGGTGATGTTTTAGCTAGGAGGTAGTCCGTATTTTCTACAGTGAAGCCTGTCTAAGACGACTACTCAGGGGACCTTCAAAACGTGGTCTCTGTTACCAGGTGGTCTCCTTATCCAGGGTAATTTGACTGGAAATAGCATCGGTTGGTCCTGGTTTCAGTGGTCTTCTAGGACAGGTGGTCGCTTTATCCGAGTGGTCACCTTGACAGGTTTTAAAGCGTGTCTTTGTTTGTATACTGTAAATATACAAAATTTCGGCGCTGCAAAATTTCGGCACTTCTCGATTTTTGACATTTCGGCGGCGATTTATTTTCGGCGTGGGGTAGAGGGCATGGTATAGTGCGACAGATGCTGTGAAAAATTTCATCGGCGTTTTAATTTAGGTGTTTTGGGTCGGTGCCGAATATAGCCGAAATTAAATAGCTGACGAAAATTTGTATATTTACAGTATTTGGAATTTCTGTTTGACTTATCTCCAGGCGCTTGACGTGGATGTCGATACAGCGGGCTCCACACCGACCGTAATCAAATGCGAGTATTCGTACGAGCGCAAATGTAAGCTTGCTACCATTAGTCCTAGTGCTATCCATCGGGATAGGGAGGCATGAAAAGTGGAACGCATTTGGAGATTTCTCATGCAAACGGCTGTCTAACGCTATCCCCATCATTCTTTATTCTCACCATGGCGACTCTCTCCAATAAGATCCGTGGATGCATTGTTGCACTACATGCTTACCCATGTTGCGTGAGTGAAGAGGGTCGTTTCCGTACATTATTGTGTTGGCTATCAATGCAAGGTTATGTGATACATAGCAGTGCCAAGCATGTCGAGATTCTAACTTTGGCACGCATGCCGTGTGAATGCTGCGAGACTAACAGTTAAGCTACATAAGCTGGGAAGCAGTTCGTCACTGCACCTGTAACTTTTTTCTACTCTGGTTGTCGTCTTCCCATGGTCACTAGACAAGCTAACGAAGCACAAGAAGATGACGTTCGTTCTGGAGTTGACTGCTGTTGACGACGTTAAGCTGAAATACTGCCTTACCTACACGATGACGTGTCGCAAAACCTCCGGTAAGCATGTGGGGTTAAACTACATGCTGTGGACAACGGTGCATTTTGAGTGGCTGCAAAACTCCCAGATCAGATCTTGATTGGCTTTATCCAGGACATTGTCTATACCTTACAGCCATCGTAACCATTCACATGTCTACTAAGTATTAAAGTTACTATTAAACTACATGCTATTGGAGAAATTACTCTTACAAGTAGACATTTCCTGGAAGCTGACGTCTTCTCTTGCCGGTCTTGTTTCTGATTGAAAGGGTCTGCTCGCCGTTTCCGTGGTATCTGTGAGCGTCTCCAAGGTTACCTGCAGTCGCGGCCGCAGATGAGCTCTCCGGACGCGGTGAGCGACGACGAGGTTCTCCGTGGCGACGACACCACCGCCGTGGCAACCACCACCCCGTCGCCGGGAGAAGCGGATAGCGCTTATCAGAGCACTGCAAGCCCGGACCAATCTAGCGAGGTAGTGGGCGAGACGTCCCCTGGCGGCGGCGATGGTGACACACCGACGCGTGGCCCGCCACGTCGCAAGCTGAGCAAGCGCAAGAACTTCACACGCACCTACCCGAAAGACCAGCAAGAGGGCGGCGAGTCTGCGACAGCCGCCGCCGCTGCCACTGCTACCGACACAAGTCCTGAGTCAGTGCAGGTTGAAGTCTGATGATCGTGTCTTGCTGGGTGTGCATCGTACAGACAATAACCATGTGTAGCTGGGTGTGTATTGCACAGACAATGATCTCGCGCCTTGCTGGCTGTGCAGCGTACAGACAAGAACATGCGTAGCTGTGGTGACTACACAAGCATGCATCGCTTTGAGTTGGTGTGTTGTTGTAGTTACACAGCCTTGAAGTTGATCTTCTCCCCGCAAGGTGTAGCTTGCAGTTGTCCTTTTCGACTTCGCCGTAGCTGCGAAGTGTTGGTGACTAGAAGTGTGCAGCTCATACTGATGAGCAGGAAGTGATTGCGTCACGATTGCGCAATCTGTGCTTGCGTTGCCAGCGAGATCGAGATTACATCTACACGAATCCCCATCTGGAAATGTTGGCCCGGGTCCTGGATGGGCACAGTAGTGCTGCTCAACTAAAACTGTGACCTTGCAAAATAACTGTTTTCTCTGATTATTTTCATATTGCTGCGATGATTGCAATTTGTGATCACAGCATCTCCTGGAGAAAATAGAAAAAAATCTTTCCGCTGTTTTACTGCATAGAATGCAACCAGAAGGTGCTAAGACCGTCCATTTCTATTTTGAGAACTTTTAAATTTATTGTGCCCGCCGCGGCTTTGATATCGTAGTATTTACCATACTGCATATGTGTGTTTTTGCATGCGGCCCTCCGACGCGAGAAAAAATATTTGCAACTCCTCTAGTTCTTCTGAATATGTCTTTCTTTGTATCGTTGAGCTCGATAATTTATGTACACGACGAGTATGGAGTTACCATAATGACTTGCCTGCCTGCAGAAGTTGATGCTCTCTATCCAAAACATCTTTTAAAATATCTTTATTTCCCTTTTGTTTAGTTTATCAGTTATCCACAAGCCGTGGTATTGTATGCGTACAACGTGCACTATGGTCTGTAATAGCAGCTACGTGCACTATGGTCTGTAATAGCAGCTAGCCCTGGCTGCCTTGGCATTGTTGTGTTTTCTTTGAACTTTTTCTATTGGTTTTTCTTCTGCGTTGCAGTTCTCACTGCTGTAAACTATCTTACGGGTTTGTGGTGTGCGGCGCTCGATAATGCAGAGAGCCCCACTGCTGGTTGCGTGTGCGGGATGGCAGTAGGTCTGAATGGGTGTGCTGTGCACAGTAGATGATGCATGCATTACTACTCACTCCCCATAAAAAATAAAAATAAAAAGCCATTTGGGGGCCGGCCATAATTATTGGATCTTTTACAAGTTTATGGCTGGGCTGAGGAGAGTTTCGCGTGAAAAAATATTGATAGTTGCATGAAACAATCAATCCATTCTAGCTGTCAATATACTTATTATAATTATAATATCAATAATGTCGGATGTCCGCTTACACCCTGGCACTAGAGATAGGGAACATCAGCCGACTGTGGCAAGAGCAACGGAGACTCCCTCGATCTAGGCTAAGGCCTGTGGAAATTCCATAACTACAAAATACAAATACAAACAAGCAAGGACAGCACACTGCGGGACACTGTACAACATTGTAAGCGGCTACTACTGTACTCTATTGACGCATATCGGTACAAGTTGAGAAAGTGCAAGACTGCATGGCTGGCACTACGGGGCAGGGCAGGGCAGGGCAGTACAAAACATAAAAGCACAAATCTCCGAGGAAAAAGCATAGAGCAGTTTTAAAATAGACAGATGAATCAAGTCATTTTGGGCAACCAGAAACCCCCGACGTCAGTGTAAATGCCACTAGATAATGATACTAATAATATATGCCAAGTAATAAAGTAAATGCGGTAAACGGAACAACAACAAAAAACCTTGCGCTGTGCAAGAGGCTACCTGACAAGGTGACACAGTAAACACAACAAACGATTTTGAAATGTACGTAGGGACAAAAACCACATGGACAATTTACGACCCAACAGGAAAAAGAAACTTGAGTCCATCGAAAGGTAGGGAGACTTCGGGGAATTCATGTCAAATCTTGGCAGCAACTGTGGCAGGGCGGGCGAATGGCCAAATATACTCAATTTTTCGCAATGGTTTACCAGAGATGACGGCCGAACTGGTCCGGTAGCTAAAAATATGGCACTCCGACGGATGGAGGAGCTAGAAGTTGAGGGTGTAAATCGCACCACGTGGCAATGGTCACAATCACACGGCAACCACCCCACATATGACTGGTGAAGATGAACAATACAACTATGTTACATGTATGGGCATGAAAAACATAGACAAAGAAGTAGCGGCTGTGATAGGCACGATCCAGCGCACGTGATGGCAGCATTGGCGAAACCGGCGTCAATTTTTCTGTCGAACAAAGTAGCATGATTCAAGTGTAGCTGCATCGTGCACCAGGGAGTGACACTGTCACAAGTCCCATTGCACACATGTACACGCCTACACACGAGCGCACACACGGGCGCACAGACATACCAGTGTCCTTACGAAGTTACGGAGAAACTATGGTCACAGCATTGCCATTGGTGGCGGCGGCGGTGCAGCTGTTGCTGATGGTGCGGATCGGAAGAACAGTGGCAGTGCTGGCAGCGAGCAGGAGATACAGCCACACGGCTCAAACCATCGGACATAGACATGAAGGTGATTGACGAGTTGAGCTTGGTAGCTCAGGCACATTGCTATAACTAGTAAACTACGGTACAGGCGGTACTCCTACGTCTACAGTCACCACCGGTGCTGCTAGGCAACGTGGCCAGAGTTCAGTTCAAATCACCACAGCACAGAGTGACAATACAAATCACGGTAGAAACCATTCCATGACGAGAAACACGGGCGATAGAATCTTCCGTGCCGTGCCAGGATGGGGATCATCACGTTTGCGGAACTGCCGGGTCTGCCTGTGGTGATGGCGGTGAGCGCTTGCCAACGTAGAAGCAGTAGATGTTCAGGTGAACACAAAGTTGCTGACAGACTTTTATAGACGATGAGACCACGTCATAACAAGCCCAGGCCTGGAAATATAGAAGAAAAAAGTCAAACGGTGAAAGCAAACGCAGAAATCAGTAAACAACATTCAAAATTAGACGCACAACTCAGTGACAGTTGAACTCACACAGTTCTCCATGGCTCACAATCCAATTTCATTTTGGAGTACTAGTCGTCCTGGGTTTCTTGCAATGCGGATAGGAAGTTGATTCACACCAGCCATTTCACCCTGCTTGTCCAGCATCAAGTGAGCTCAAATGAGCACGCCATGGATGTAGCCCAGGGCGTAGACCACGGTAGAAAGACCCGTGGTCAATCACAGGCTCACCTCCCAGTGAAAGACTACAGTGGAACCTGCCTAAGACGACCGCTCATGGGACCTTCAAAACGTGGTCTCTGTTGCCAGGTGGTCTCCTTATCCAGGGTCATTTGACTGGAAATAGCATCCCTCGGGACTGGTCCGCTCCTGGTTTCAGTGGTCTTCTAGGACAGGTGGTCGCCTTATCCGAGTGGTCGCCTTGACAGGCTTTACTGTATGTGCAGGGGGTGATGCAGAGAGCCAGCCAAGCACTAGTGGAGTACTACCGACTCGCCGTACAATGAAAAGAACAGCAAGTACAGTTATGCTCAGTGCAACCTGGACCCATGCAAACAAATAAGTACTCGACAGCAGTGCAGAGCCCAGTCAAGGGAACTGGATTTCACTGAGCACCGCTATAGTCACTTGCACCAGCATGCTGTGTCACCATTATCCAGTGTGTGAAAGTAACAGCACAACACCTGTATCACGGCACGAGTATGCGGCTCTACACTCTGCTGCATCGAGCACTCTTTCGAGCTGCCCCGCCTGACCCAGCTGAGCCAGACTGGGTGGCTGCTTACACGTCGTCACTTACCATCATAAGACTGGTCCAGTAGAATTCCGGTACCGGCGATCCAATGAATATATTGACATAGACCGCAAACAGCGGAAGTAGAATGTGGTCCATCAGCACCATCCCGCTTTTGGACATATGTGCAATCTGCACAACAAGGAACACACACACGCACACACACACACACACGCGCGCGCGCGCACGCACACAGCAAAACAGAGACATGGTGGTCAGAAAACAAGGAACACCAAGACAAAAAGAACACATTGCCCAGATGTACTGAGAGCTGCACAGAATCCAGCATATCGCCATGCACATGTACGACCAAGAAAAACATGGCCCCAGGGTATTGAAGAGTACTGAGAGAGTGAGGGTGCACAGTTACACTGATGGCCATAGTACAACTTGGCAGCAGACTAGGAGCATGGCAGACACAGGGGAACGGAAATAAAACGAGAGAGCTTGGAAGCTCAGGGCCCTACGCTATGCTTTTTTGCCTTGATGACCTAGACAAAAAAAAAGCATAGGGATGTTATAAATTCTTTAAAAAAATCCTTTTTTTTTTAAGACAACCTGGGATTCGAACCCGCACTATCGCGCGCCCTGCATGCATACCCCGATACACTTCGCATACATACTAATTCTTCCAAGTTGTTTCACATTGTGATCTTGCATTTGAAAGCCCTATTTGAATATGCATTGTGGCCAGCCGTCTTTGATGGCACGGTACGGTAGGGGATAGGTACGGGACAGGTACGATCGAGGGTAATACGACACCGTCTCCCGTACCGTACCGTACCATCAAACACAGCTGGCCACATACAGCTGCCATCAATATTCAAATAGGGCTTTCAAACGCAACATAATAACGTGAAGCAATTTGGAAGAATGGGTATGAATGCGAAGTGTATGGGGGAATGCATATAGGGTGATAGTGCGGGTTCGAATCCCAGGATATGCCTGAAAAAAATAGGAGAATTGAAAAATTTATAACATCCTATGCTTTTTTGCCGTCAGATACGGATAGCGCCAGGCGTGACACAAACAAACAAACACACAAACACCAAATTAAAGCTGTGTGGACCCTGGCTAGCGCCAGACGTTACTGAAGTAACGTCTTCTGCATAGCTACGGGAATGGTCATTGTATAGGTATTAAGATAAGCAGATAGATGTCACACATCACATGGCTAACACCTACACTTGAGTGGGAACAAAGGCGTGCTTTAATACCGCAAAGTTTGGCAAGGGGACATGGTGCCATACTTTTAAACAAAGTGTAAAGTAACGTACAAAGGTGTCTAGAGAGGGTGATAACGATAGAGGAGGACCAATGTGGGAGTAAGAAGACCATGAAAAGCTCCTAACGGGCGGCCAATAGCGGCAAGTAGAACTAGGGTGTGCTCCCAGAGCTGAGATCACACCTGGGTGACTCACACATCCGTCATATCACCATGACTTTGTGTTACTCACCACAAGGTTAATACACAGCTTGGCACAGACAAATCCAATCAATAGGCCACCTATAACAGGTTGTGTTTGAAGAATTTGAGCGGGTGACGTGCGGTAGATATAGTCGGACAGGAACAGGACAACTAGCACCGGTATCGACGGAGACAGAACACTAGTGTCCTATAAAGAAGAAAGCACATACGGGAGAGAGAGAGAGAGAGAGAGAGAGAGAGAGAGAGAGAGAGAGAGAGAGAGAGAGAGAGAGAGAGAGAGAGAGAGAGAGAGAGAGAGAGAGAGAGAGAGAGAGAAAGAGAGCTACATTCACCGCACAGCCCAGTAGTCACAGTGCTTGTGTTGTACAGGCCTGGACTACTACAGACTAGTGAATAGTTAAAGGGGAAGTTAAGGCAAAAATTAAAATTTCACCAGTTGTAGTCTTCGGGGTGCTGAGTCGAATGGTCTTGGTCCGAGAAAGCTGAGACGCTCCCTTCCTACTTGAATCCCAATCGAACTCGCGCATTTCCACCGAAACTGGATGACTGCGCCCTACTAGATGGGGATTTGTATGCAAAATGTCACTAAAAGCGCCGTTTCGTTCTTATAATAGCACGGATGACCGCGATTGGCCCATATGTTGTAGTCTTTTGGACGCTGAGTCGACTGGTTTTGGTCCGAAAAGGCTGCGATGCAGCGTTCCTCCTTTATTCCCAATCGAACATGGTTGAACAAGCGGTCACGTGCTCCTGCGTACACCAGTCAGCTGGTCACCGTGCCTGCAGGGTACAACTTACTAGCCTGTTTGACCTTTTTTGGGTGCAGTCCTGTCACTCGAGTTGAACTCGAGTTGAACCTTGGTGTGAAAGTTGTCGCCTGCTGGCGTGGTGACCAGGTGATTTGGGCACCCAGGAGCACGTGACCACTTGTTCAACCATGTTCGATTGGGAATAAAGGAGGAACGCTGCATCACAGCCTTTTCGGACCAAAACCAGTCGACTCAGCGTCCAAAAGACTACAACATATGGGCCAATCGCGGTCATCCGTGCTTTTATAAGAACGAAATAGCGCTTTTAGTGATATTTTGCATACAAATCCCCATCTAGTAGGGCGCAGTCACCCAGTTTCGGTGGAAGTGCGCGAGTTCGATTGGGATTCAAGTAGGAAGGGAGCGTCTCAGCTTTCTCGGACCAAGACCATTCGACTCAGCACCCCGAAGACTACAACTGGTGAAATTTTAATTTTTGCCTTAACTTCCCCTTTAAGGGGATATAGGAATCTGTACTTGTATAGCCAAGACACTGTATATCAAAGGTCACATGACTAGAGTAGGATACGCAGCGTGCTAAACAAAGTATGTAATACCCAATGCAAGGATAACAGAATGTTATAACCAGGGTCTTCATACTGAAGATTCGCTGAATGCTCATGAGCCTGGGCTTCATTTGCCACCAATGTTTCTACCAGAACACCAGCAGCAGTAGCAGCAAGGAAGTCATTCACAATACTCACTGCAATTGTTGATCCATTCTTGCCTTGTCCACCTTTCAATACAATTTGAATGCTGCGAAGTACACTAACAATGACAGCCCCTATTGACACATTCAGTAGAATAAACTGAATGTCAATATCCATTGAGAACCAGCTGAACACCTACAGGACAAAAAAGACAGTAGAGGGGTGAGAGAGAGAGAGAGAGAGAGAGAGAGAGAGAGAGAGAGAGAGAGAGAGACAGAGAGAGAGAGAGAGAGAGAGAGAGAGAGAGAGAGAGAGAGAGAGAGAGAGAGAGAGAGAGAGAGAGAGAGAGAGAGAGAGAGAGAGAGAGAGAGAGAGAGAGAGAGAGAGAGAGAGGGAGAGGGAGAGAGAGAGAGAGAGAGAGAGATGGATCGAGAGAGAGAGAAAGAGAGAGAGAGATTTGGTTCTGTGTTATCTGTAATCGTCATGACACATTACTGCCTACTAGTACATGCCGCTCCTGAGCACTACATCAGTGACAAGAGGTATGTACTGCATCCAATTGTAGCAAATACACTCCTACTCAATGAAATCCAATCAAGTGAGTCAGCGTTGCGCCGTGCACCAGTGAACATCCCAGTGTGCGCAGGTCTAGGGCTGCACAGCGCCCGGCCAAACTTGACTTACGCGATTGGATTTCATTGAGCAGTTCTGTAGTTTGAACTGTTTCAACGCCGAATCAGCTGAACAACATACCTATGCTGAAAGAAAGACACGGAGATGAATACAAAAGCTACAAAAACATCTCGGCCATGTCTTGCCTACTCACTGTCTTTCTCCAGATTTCCGGTCCGCAGACACCAGACACCAGATGAACCATCATCATGGACAACTGCGCTTCTGTCACATCAATTCTGCACGTACACACACCACACACACAAACAAACACACACATGCACACACAGAGACACAGACACACAGACACGCACAAACACACACACACAGACACACAACGCTTTTAACCCTTTGGAGTCCGTAACTTTTTTGTTTCCGCAGAATTTGTGGCAGTCACGAAAATGCGCACTCCATTTCCAACATAACTTTGGTTCTACTTCACCGATTGTGAAGATCTTGGGCTCGTTGGAAAGCTCTTGATGAGAGAAAAACAATGGGCCCAAACTCGCCAAGAGCACTATTCATTGTCCGCCACACTGCGCCGCAAACGCAAGTCCAGCTCCAGATCTGAGACGAAATCGGTCTCATGTAGCCATTTCACTGAATCTAGCTCGGAACTGTTCATTTTTTTTAGTAGAAGCTTACCTTGCCGTGACTTCGCGCCGCGCCGGTCCTGGCACGTGCCGCCTGTCATGAAGCTGGGAAAATCCCTTTTTTTCACGCACTGCTGACTCGCAGCACGCAGCGCAGAAAATTCGAAATGTTTGATCGCTCGCCGCTCACTCAAACTTCATCGGAGAGACTTCGGACCTGTTCGAGGCGATAGCTAAGAGTTTTCTCTACCATCTAGACCCTTCGATTGTTGAATTTGGTCAAGATTTGGCCGAGAACCGAAAGTTTGACTGCACCCACATGCATACAAAATGCCCATGGTTCAAAATCGAACCATGGACTCCAAAGGCAAAGGGTTAAAACATGGGGCACTCTGTAAGACTAATCCATGCACGAGCGGGGGGGGGGGGGGGGGAGCAGTACCTACAAGCAGATGGTTCAAACAAAAGGTGGTACACACAGTCCAAGAATACTCAGTGCAGCTGCAGCAAAGATCAGGGAGTGCAACACACATTCCATAATATTCTACTACATGTACTCTAGTGAGCTACAGTATTGCACAGAAGAGTCTGTCTACACACACGAGAATTGAGAACTAATCATTGCCATATGATGAAACAGAGAGCAGCAATTATCACAATACAATCCCCAAGCCTAGCCATGACTATAGAATGTTACTTTAAAGTCCGAACCTTCCATTTCTTCACACTTATTTCCACATGCGAGTGTGGATGAGGGCAATGCACAAATGCGCGCGAGCGCACACACACACACACACACACACACATCTGTGCAGGCATGCACATGTACACACACGCACATGGGCATGAGCGCACGAGCATGAGCACACGTACACACACACACACGTGTGTAGGCCGGTCGGCATGCCTGCATGCTGCAAAACAGTCCCACCAATTACTCACTGGCTAAACTCTAGCGTTCCGCAAATGTATGTTCTCCAATGAGCACAGTAGAAGACTACTAGCGTGGTGAGGTAAGATATAAAGAGATAGAGAGGGTAGTCACCCAGGCGCATTGAACACGGCACAGCCAGGCCAACGAAAGCTAACGATACGGCATCGCAGCCGTGATCAAAGAGCTCGCCGAGGGGTGTCGAGCACTAAAGCAGCAACAACAGCAGATGGAGAAACATGCTATCACGGCACATCACTCGAAAGCACAGTCTCAACAAAATTATACATTGCTTGTGATCTCCAGCAGGCAGGCAGGCATACTGTAAAAGCAGAAATTTTCGGTGGTGTTTTATTTTCGGTAACTTCGGTGCCGACAATTTTTACCGATAATAAAACGCACCGAAAATTTCGGTACAACCGATACTGTATACATGTGTTACTAGTACACTTACCTGGAAAACGGGTTTCACCGAAAATTTCCCTCCACCGAACCGCCGATTTTGGAGAATACCGAAAATATTCCACCACCGAAAATTTCTGCTTTTACAGGGTAGTGGGATGGTCTAAGACCATGATTGAGAAACAGAGGTTTCCACAATTGCAGGGGTAGTGCTGGTAATACTGGTGGTCAGACATGTGATAAAAACAACAGAAGCAGGAGCAGACCAGTTGCACTCACATTTGTACGCCGCGCATGCTTGCCATCGATAGCATCCAGCGCCTGGTAGACGAAGAAACTAATCGCACATAGAAAGTAGACCCAGGATGGCGCCTACGCATGTCAACAAGAAACACACATGGGTAAAAAGGAGACTCACACTTTTAAAACTCAACTGCACACTCATCGCTGACCCTACCCAGATCAGAAAGCACTCGAGCAAAGTAAACCAACACCGACACCAATACTATCGTGTGTGTGCGTACACCTTAACACACGCACACACACATACACACACACGTGCAATGTGGACATGAGACAGTTCAAATACAGTTACATGAAGTATTTCTCTTTTTCATCTCACATCCGGTGGACACTCCGAACTGTCTATTCGCAACCATTACATGGAGCAGAGAAACCTGCTGTTTATCGCCAGAACAGACGACCATTCTACGAATGTAAGTTTCACGGTGGTCAGTGGCCGGGGACAATCAGTCTCGGAAGACAGGTGCTCTCTGTCAAACACAGGTTTTACTGAACGCACATGCACCATCCCAGTCATAACTATCTGGGATTGCTAGGGCAGGTGTTTTGACTGGAATCCCATGCTACACATACATGCTAGTACTCGGAGTATATTCAATGCAATTAAGCCCAGTGGAGAAACACATTTCAAAAAGAAATAAAAAAAACCCCAATCTTCCTGGTTTCACATGACACTGCTGTTGTGTCAAATAACATGACGTCATTTACACAGTGCCCACCAGCTCATAGCAGGACACAGCTATCCTGAACAATATTAGAGAGCAGCAGAAGCATATCCCTCATGACACTAAAGTGGCAGCCTCGTTGCACAAGTGTTGTAGACACATGAGTGCTGCACAGTTACTGTAGTGTCGCGTATAAAAGCATGACCTGTATAGAAGCATGACTCGAATAGAAGCCGATTTTTTGAAGCGCGCCGTGACACAGAAGCATGATTTGAATAGAAGCCGCTCTCTGCAAAGTACATGTTCAAGTACATGCGTGGCAGTATGCACTGCACAGTGTACACTGATGATGTTGACGTAGAAGCATGTTTTGAATAGAAGCATAACTTGAATTGAAGCATGGTTGGAACCCCCGGCTTATACGGCCGTAAGCACCTGCTTTTATACGCGACATTAGGGTATGTACGGGATACCATCACAATTACATGCTTTGTATGGAGCGGCAGACCCGCGCATATGACACCATTCTATACAAAATACCCCATACATTGACATCATTACATGTCGTACTGGTAAACACGAGGAAAAGCCGGACTTCTGCTTGTGCAAGGCAATGTGAGGACCGGGCTTCTATCCAAATCAGGCTTCTATTAAATGTTATCACCAACAGGCATGGGTTGCCTTGGTCGGAACTCGGAAGCTAGTGTGAGAAATGAGTGCTGCTGTGCAGCAGACGGCTGTGCATAGTAACCAGTCACTGTGCAACATAATTAGCAACCTCACACAGGCTGCAGGAAGTACACCAACCCAGCGTGAATAAACAGCTGCTGTTCTCATTGCTGCTGCTGCTGCTGCTGCTGCTGCTGCTGACACCTGATGCAACACACCCTTTCACATGCTAGAACGACACATGCTTCTGTCAAGCAACTGCCGAAACCATTAACCAGGTATTCGCTCCATGACACAATCTAACTTCAAACTAAATGACACTTCTTTCTACAAGCCCTCCATGACGAAATGCCTCATGCCTACTACCACTTGCCACCACTACCTTCAAAGAGTAGAACTCTACACTGCAGCATACCGGACTAGCAGAGCCCAAACCAAGTGACCAACACGATAGAAACTAGACTGCCATCAATCAGCAAGCTGATAATAGACAGGCTGCCGGGGCAGGACTGGGTAGCCACGAACAGTAAAGCAGCCAAGGCAGCAAACAGAAAACTGCACACAACGACTACAAGTACCAACCAAAGGTGATTGCAACGGGAAAAAAATCAAAAAAAATCTTAATGCCTCATTGGAACGTGACCAAATGCTGGTTGTACGGGCCACACTACAATTAAATATCGAACACATACTGCCAGGCCAATAATACTTTGAAAGGTACCCAGTACTAGCCAATTCCCTTTTCCCAATACGGGGCTTCTACAAATCCACAAAACATTTATATCTCTTTTTTGCCATTTCTTGTGGAAATAGTGAAGTCATACGAAGTCATACGCCAGATCTCTAGCACTTCCCCATCAAAATGTACGTGATTCGGAGTTACGGACATTCCGAGTTATGGGCAATGCCTAGGCGGTCCCGCACCGCCCAGATAAGAGAGATACGAGTGTAATAACCCCCCGAGGCATGTACTGTATTTCCCTGAATAAATGTCGCACCTATTTTCACACTAAAACCCAAGGTCGAAGAAGGGGTTGCGACTTCGAGTGCAACTTACTACTTCAGTGAGCACACTGAAAACTATACGGCCGAGACCTGCAAATGAAATGGGGCTGCGACATACAGTAAAACCTGTGACTAACGACCACCCCTTGGGGCCAGAGAAAGCGGTCTTTAGTGGCAGGTGGTCATTAGTTAGAGGTTTGCACCGCACAACCAATAATAATGTGAGACCGTCCGTGCCGCGAAGTGGTCTGTACCAGGCTGGTCGCTAGTCACTGTGGTCTTTAGTTACAGGTTTTACTGTAGTAACATAACACCGATTCCCCTCAACCTGATGAATAACAACATTTTTTGCCTTTGGGGCCACTACTAGAGACAAGAGGGGGGAATTGTTGAGCGCAGGTGTAGGCTAACCCTGCGTACTACTGTACTTGAAGTTTCGGAATTCGCTGCCTACTTCGAATAGGCACTGCTGTAGAGTAGTACACCGGTCTGATAGGACTATGATAGAGTATGCGTAATGTTTTTGTCACTGAACATGATTCTGAAATTGATTTCCACAAACATTACAATCTGGCTTGCAAGACGAAGGATATACTCACTGTCTCGGAGGCGTGCGGGGTGTAGTAGAAGAGGACTAGAGTCGATAGAGTATTGATGGCCAGTCCAATGACTGTCAGCGTGTTCGGTGCTACCCAAATAGGAACGAATCTCACCAGCCAATTCCAGAAATACTGTAATGGGTACTCAGCCAAAGACCTTCCAGCGCAGCTATAATTGTGATTCTCCAGGTTCTTGAGCTGCGTGCTGGTCAGAGGCATTGACGGAGGCACTGCCCTTTCTGCTGAAAAAGGCATTTCAGCAACTAACGCGACTTACACCCACTCTCGTTGTACAGTGGCGGTGAGGAGGTTTTGCTACAATTCACTGGGCAAGGCAGGCTGCACCCAACGATAGTAATAGTAATACTCTACTGGGTATGGCAACAGAGGACGAGGTGCTTCGCACTCGCAGCTGGCGCTCCGGTTTAGGACTCATACGGTCACAGCAATTAGAAACAAAAACATGTAGCTCAGCATGAATCTGACGTTGAGAGCACCAACCAAGCAAGAGAATGCGATGCAGTTCCCAAAATAAAAATTTCACCAATTTGACATACTCTTGAAGGAGGTATTCAGGTCATGTCGCGTGAAAGCATGGGGCCGGGGGTAGAGTAACGTCAAAATAAAGCGGAGCCCGAGCCACACCGCCAGAAAGACAAGTACTGAAGTACACTCCGCAACTGTGCATGCAAGTCTCGTGCCACACAACTACACACGCCAATCTAACAAGGATCCCAAAGTTAATAATAAAGGCAAGGAGTGGTGCACGAGTTGAAAAGGAAATGATTACACGACTTGATGACTTCACTTCTGAACTGGATGTTGAAATACAGTCATCGACTCACATCATCCACCCTGCATCATCGATCGTCTGGCCTGGTCCAATCACTGATCGTTCGTCTGATGTCCGCTGTAGATCTACCGCGCACTGGATCTTGGACTGGTCATCGCGCCATGTCAGGGATCATACATGATTGTATTATAGCAATAAAAACTGCTTTATGGCAGTTTTCTAAAAAAAGTTATTGTGTTCTAGTCCATGGACCTCGCCTAAAAAGTAAGAAATTAACGAAAATTTAATGTGATAGCCGAAAATTAAAATTTCACACAAAACCTCACAATAATCACGACACTTGAAGATCTAATAGTACGGCTTTCAACACTTGTTTATTCCGACACTTGTACTTGTACAAGTACATGTACTGCGCCAACATGCTTGCATATGAAAGAGGACCACGAGGGGAAAAGGTCGTCTCGCATCCTGTGTGTGATTATTGTGAGGTTTTGTGTGAAATTTTAATTTTCGGCTATCACATTTCGTTAATTTCTTACTTTTTAGGCGAGGTCCATGGACTAGAACACAATAACTTTTTTTAGAAAACTGCCATAAAGCAGTTTTTATTGCTATAATTTCTTTTGTTTTTTTGGCTAAAGGATATAATTGTGTAACCAATGGAATGCCCTAATGATGGCCTACATGTAGCGCCTCTGCATGTTATTATTATTATTTTATTCATTTTACTAGGGTGTTTCCCGCAGACCTATGTTCTTCTTACGGGAGCCCCTATAGGCCCTATGTGTATCATATCAAATTCAATACCGTATTATACGCATTGATGTGCAAGCCTTTTCTTGCAGAAAATGGAACTAGTCTTGCATACATGTATTCATGTTCTTCTGCAGGGGAATCATAATTATGGGTAGTGGTGGTGATACTTTTTTATACGCAAGTCATTCTGTGGATGTTGCAGAATTTCATGACTGTCATAAAATTGTCTTGTCTTTCAGAAAATTCAGATGTCCACACCCTAAATCACATTTACTTGAGAATTGTAACCAGGTGTGTGCCGCAGATGTTTTTGTTGATTCTGTGTTTATAATTGTAGTCATGGGTTGTCGTGATAAGGTCATCCGGCATTATATTGTAGTGAAATCGTAATCCTGTTGATGTCAATAAAACTTTTGGAAGCAGTTCAGTGACTTCAAAGTGCCCACGATTGTCTAAAACAACACAGCAAAGTAGGAACAATAAACATGCATTAAAATGTAAACAAATACATCGCTGAGTCCGACACCTCGTTCCAACAACTACACTGATCCTGAGGATATAAGGGGCAAGGATATATGGTTTTAGGTACTGAGAGATAAACAAGGCACTCCATAATAGTAAAATGTTACACGAGTTCGGGGGAGTATGAATGATATCCAGTCAAACCTCTTTAGGACGAACATCAAGGGATCGATGGCATTTGCTCTGTGAGTTTGTGTTAATACAGTACAATTATTTCTCCAATAGAGACACGAATAGATTTCTTCTACAGCGAAAGATTCTAAGCCAGACCAAACCATTGACTCGTCTATTATGAAACAAATGAGTCACTGAACCTTTCTTTAGCAACATGACGGCAACTGAAACAACAACAGAGAAAATACGTTACATGTATAGCACATTCTTGCAGGTACTACAAACAGATTGCAGATCGTAATTCTTGCTCTACCGGCACGCAACTTTATTTGGGGCAGTGCAATCTCGGCGCTACTCACAAATCAAACAGCCCAGACTCGAGTAAACAAATCCAATCGTACAAGATTTCCACGAGACCAGACTGCACCCATTGGCTTGTTTCGTATGAAGCAAACAAGTCACTGAATGCATGAACCTCTCCATAATGGAGATTTTCCCTGATATGCGAATTTATTTTGCATACTAGTACTCGGCCAATGCGTCTTTGAACCTTTCCCTCCAGTTTGGGAACTGCCAACGATGCTATGCTACTGCAAAATTCAGATTCTACCCTATGATCGGAGCACGGAATGCCGGAAGCAATCATGACCAGTGCCTTACTTGTAACGTACCAATGTACAATGAACATGAGTATTTCGACAACACATCTAAGCCTCAGCAGCAACATAAGCCTTACCGTCAAGAAGGTGAACTCGCGTTCTTCGCACACTGTGGGCAAGGGCAAAGAGAAACGAATGGATCTAAATCCGAATAAAATCAGCACACGTTTCGGTAAATGAAAGGGTGAGCATAAGCAAATGAATCGAAGGAAGCTGGTCAACTCAGAGATCACCTGTCATTGAGTATTCCGTAAAAGGAGGCCTCGACAGCAGAAAAGCTAAATTTAGAAAAGAGATCCTGTCAGCTTTTCCATTATTAATTTTATTGTATTCCACCTAAAATCAGCACACTTTTCGTAAATGAAAGAGTCAACACAAGCAAATGAATCAAAGGGAACTGGTCAACTCACCTGTCATTGAGTAATATTCCGTGAAAAGAGGTCTCAGCAGAGCCGAAGCGAAATAAGCCAGGACACGAAATATCCGAAACAGCTCATGCAAGAAGCAGTTCCAAAGAAGGAAGTTCCTCGCGCATGCACATCCGAAAACGGACTGCACTGCATGCAACACAATGTCTGCCGTGCACGTGCACAGCACGCGGCTACCACGCGTTAGTAGATCTAATACCGAGCACCTTACGTAGAAACTTACGTAGCCTAAGTGAAGTACCGAGCACCTTACGTAGAAACTTACGTAGCATAGCGGTGTCGTTTTTTCTGCCATGTAAACACAATAATAGAAAAGCTGACAGGATCGCTTTTCTAAATACATGTGTGTGTGTGTGCAACAGTAAAGGCTCCCGACCAGGGACTCGGCAGGGAGCGTGTGCGTGAGTGACTGTGTGTGTGTGTGTGTGTGTGTGTCACTGTGTATGTGTGTGCGTGTATGTGTATATATTATGTGTGTGCGTGTATGTATGTTTGTGTGTGTTTGTGTGTGTTTGTGCGTGTGTGTTTTGCAGGTTTGCATGCTTCTCTTGCGACGGGCGTAAATGGCACATGGTGATACATGGTCTATATGCATGCGGCATATGTTTGTGTGTGTTTATGTGTGTGCGTGTGTATATGTGGTACCGGCTGGTTCGGTTGTCGGGTGCACTTATTTGCCAGATACTGAGATAGTGGTGGGTCTTTTGGCAACAAGCAAGGGGGGCTTGCAGAGGTATTCAAACGACCCACATGACATTTCAGGCTAGGCCAATCAGCTGCTTTGGAGAGCTTTGATTTGCCATAGGGGCAACTGGTAGGGCCTAGGGGCTGTCGACTCAAGGGCAGCTTGCAAGAAGAAATCCACTGATCAACACCCGCTCACACAGTCATGCCCACTCTCATTTCTCATTCTTTTGAATCTTTTCACGTAAATACCAGTGATCGGAATACATGTACATGTATAAGCGCCACGAGTAACGGCATATTCTTAAGTCATGCACTGTCCAAACTAGCATAGCTGTGCACCAGTACGGTATGCGATATACAACTGCTGGACTATAAAATCGAAGTACACTGTATTTAGGGCTCAGGTTGAGGAATTTGTTGCCGAGAAAATTGTGGTTGGAGCCAGGATTCAAGTGCCGGATTAAAGCGTAGAAAATGAACTCAAAAAAGTTTGGTCGGAAAGTGTGCTGACTTACAAGGGTTCCGGATGGACACGTGCACTGTAGAGAGGGACGATTGTGTAGAAGTAGTTGTAATGGTACACACATGCACATGACGTATAATTTAAAACGGCTAATTTTAGTGACGGTGATATTTTAGCAACTTAAGCGAAAGGAGTGTTTTCGGCTTTTCGCTAAAGTTTTCCTGCATCTATTTAAATTTTGCGTGTACAGTACACCACTCAATCTACTAATCATCCTTCTTTTTAAACTCTGAAACTCGGATCGCTAAAAAATTTCGTCGCAGATTGGTCCAGATCAGGGAGTCGTACCCAAACAGTTTGGGTACGACTCCCTGGTCCAGATTCAGAAAATGCTAAAAAGTGTTACCCGCTAAAATTAGCTGTTCTGCAGTATACCAGTCCAGGGGCCTACTGCATACAGTACTCGTTGACCGACCATCCCATGACTGGACGGACGTTTGTGGGGAACTGTATAATAATAATAATATGAACAGGTCGCATATTGCCCGCATGAAAACATCATACAGGGGTCATGCATCTGTCAATGATCGTTAACCAGAGTTGCTTGTTGGTGGCGAGGTTGAGGCATTCCTGAATCGGCACATTCAGAGGTTCGAGGTCTTCTCTGATGTTGTCCGCGGCGACCCATCTCTTGTGGGGTCGTCCATGGGGGTGCTTGATGTCTGAAGTATTGAGGGCTAGCTGCAGTGCCTTGTAAGAGGCCGCGTCTACCGGTAGGGTATTGCGCACGCATGAAAATTTCCATTATTCAGTACATGCTGTACATTTTGCAAAATTCAGGGGTCTCCATGGAATCCACAGACCTCCAACCAGGGAGTAATAACAATTCCCTGCTTCCAACTAATGGTGAGCTAAGTCCTGGATAGGGTCCGGCGGATTCAGAAAAATTGGCAGAATTCAGTACTTTTTCTGGTAAGTTTCATGCATGTTTGGTATGTGCATAAAGAAATGGACCAGAATTCGAGGAATTGCCCGCCATAAGGTTTTATGGTTCTGCCAATTTCACTGCTTTTCGAGCAGAATCCGCCGGTCCCTAGTCCTGGATGCTGCTTTCTCCAGAACTATCACACTCTCCATCGGATTTCTCAACCCTTTTTTTCTCTTCGTCACGTTTGATAGCGCAGTAAGGCATCCTTGATCAAACGCACACTGAAAACCAGAAACTGCACTTCAACGTTACTTTTACTCTTCTGCTGCTGGACCCACACTTACAACACACGAAAGAAACTCTTTCAAGTACCCTTCCACAACCTCCAACGCCACCACTCAACAGCCAGAACTACATTATACAAAATTATAGCGTGAACAAACTGCTATGTCCAACGCGTGTTTTCCATAGGCCGTGTTGCTACTTCTACCCATGGCGTGTTCGTATGATTCTTTGCTTCTAACAAAACATGTGGAGTGCGATACAAATCATGTGCTGGGTCCGCCGAGGTCTAACGCGATACTGCAGGATGGCAGGTGTGAAGCGGAGTTGCCCTTGAGTAGAAGGTTCATTGCAAAACGGCCAATCATCATACAAAATAGCCAACTGCAATTTAGGAACATGTATTAGTAGATTGGCTTCAGATGTGAAAGGGGAAGTGCATCGATTTTTCGAGTAGGGTTCAGAAGAAAGGCAATTTGACATCGGTTCGAATGGCATATCTCTCGCTTCCATACGATGAGCCAAACTTGCCAAATCGCCAATTGTATACTCACGTTGCCATAGCGACCAGCGCAGTGATGACGTATGAAAGGCTTAGCTCCACCGCAGAGAAGGTCGATCACTGCAGAATTTGGTCATTTTCAATTGGTTTATTGTATTCACGAAGTGAAAGAAGGCTGCGTTCAATGCTGTTAGTGGAGTGAACTGTTTGTTAGTAGTCCTCTCGGTTGTGTACTGGGACGTGGCACCGACAGGAGAAAGCTGGAGCGCGGAGACATCAGCAGACAAGCGAAAATAGTGACGAACAAAATGCTGAAATCTTGGTTGGGACAAATCAGACGTTCAGCATTTCCCCCAACCAAGGACCATGCCATTTGCTCTTTCCACTTCCTGAAGATGGATGTGATGCTCCCTGGCGGCTCTCCTATCTCTCGTAACATCTTCTGAAGCCAGGTGAGACGACAGGTGGTGGAGATTGACGAATGAAATAATGTCGTAGGTTTGAAAGTTTGCTGAAAATGTCTCAGGAGAGATGGCGAGTACCAAGCATCTTCTCCTAGAGGAAACCATTTCCTAGGCACAGTTAGCCCAGGGAAATGCAGAAGGCCGATAAACAGTTCACTCCACTAACAGCATTGAGCACAGCACTTCTTTCACTTCGTGAGTACAATAAGACAATTGAAAATGACCAGTTTCTGCAGTGATCGACCTCTGTGGTGGAGCTAAGCCTTTCACACGTCATCACTGCGCTGGTCGGTATGGCAACGTGAGTATACAATTGGCGAGTTGGCAAGTTTGGCTTATCGTACGGAAGCGAGAGATATGCCATTCGAACCGATATCAAATTGCCTTTCTTCTGGACCCTACTCGAACAATCGATGCACTTCCCCTTTAAAAACACATACATGTAGGTCTGAAGCAGGGAGTACAATAGTCAATACCTGCTGTTCCCTGGTCTGACCATGGATTGCTACCGTGTGCGATGTGCAGAGTTGCACATGTGATCAGCGGTCAGCATACTATGGTCTCTCTCGTACCAGCTGGGAAACCAGATCGAACTTTTTGAGCGGGGAGCTTTGGCACCCCCACCCACCCAAAGTAAACATGGAGTAAATAACCTAGTTTCATGCAACTGCCAGAGTTACACTATCCACGCCATTTTTCCGACACTGTGACTGGTGCATTCCAGGCAGTGACTTATTCACACGGTGGACATATGCCATGTACTCTAACCACTCAAGCCTGCTGTTCTTCATAAAGACATCACACCTCACCACGGACTGCGATTGGAACTTCAAGACAGTTTAGAAAAAAAGCAATCACCACGGGACTGGAAAGCACTGACCTTTTTCTTCTAGCCAGGGGCTTCCGGTGCGCAGCCAGGTGCTCCCTGTGCTGTGCGCAGGCAGACCTCAAATCAATGCATGCCCAGCCAGACCTCAGCGGCATTACCGAGTGCAGTATTAGTTTGTAGTAGCGTCGCCGAGCAGCATCATGGACATGATGAATGGCAGCGGGCTCTTTATGGAACTTCGTGGTGACTTGTATCCGGTGCCAAAACGACTAGATTTTGTATTGTAAACATGTATGCTGTACGAAACCACCGAGTACTGACCATGCTGACTGTAATAACACGCAGGCGGCTTCAACGGGATTAGAATTTCCCGACCCCAGTCATCTGATGCTCCCATACAATGAGATGCTGAGCACTCGAGTGTGAGCTGGCTCGTGTCGACGGTCGGCCAAGCATCCGTGCCGCTCATGTCGGGTCGTATGTGAAGCTTCTGTAGGCTTCTCCGAGGTCTCTCGAGACTTTGCCCTGCATCACACAGTGGAAATTGATGCCGCAGACGATGTGTATACGATACGTTGAATAGCTAGCTAGCACTTGTGTCGCAGAGCCGACAGTCCTCCACGCTCCTTACCTCCACAGCACAAGTGAGCCCGTGTACCTGAAATTTCTCCTGCGGCAGTCAAAGAACCGAGAGACGTTCTACAAGAACGTAACGGGAAAGAAGGTCAGTGAAGAATGACATGACTGTCTGAGTGAAGCGAAGTTCCTTTACTCTATGAGAAAAGATCATTGCAAGGGGGCATTGGAGCGAGCCGCATTCAAACTAAGAAGACGGCAAATGAGTGTTATGGGAGTGCCGCGTGCAGTGTAGAAGGATCTACCCGTGGATCTGGGAGAACTGGACGATGCTAGCTAACGGGAGTCTGGTGTGAACTTTGACCCCGGAGTGGTAAAGTTACGATCGCCCAGGCTAGGCGAGAGATCCTGCACTTTATACTGCGACAAATGAGAACCTTATACATACTGTAGATGTCTACTATTAGCACTCAGCTGGTGGAGCATCATTTCACTTCAAAGTTTAGTTCAAGTAACAACTGGCTCAAGTGGACATACATGACTTGTACATATAGATCTACTACACACACTTGCGTCGCGTAGATCTAGTACTCACTGACTCAGTCCAAGGCCAAGGGCAAGGAACGTCGGGATACGCACTCCCAGGTGCGCAAGCATTCGCATAGAGTGCGAATGGTGCGCGTGCGCGCGTCCGAGCGTGAGCGCGTGCGCATTGCATGGCGCGCGGTGGCATGAAGGAGATGGCCTCCTCTTCAGGATTCAAGTAGCTCAGGTGCTACAGTGCTGGTGTATATCGGCTCTACTCTAACTTCGTCTAAGCCGACGACGCAGACGACCACCGATACTGAACACACGCATATAGCGTACGAATGCTACATGTATGCTACTTGGAAGCATCCTCGCGGAAGAAGCGCGAGGTCTAGCTTGGGTGTTGCCACCAGGATCCAGGCCGAATGCCTCTCTCCGATAGGAGAGCATGACGTGGGAAGCAGCAGAGTCCACCTCGATACAGACCGGCCAAACGATGGTGTGGTGTGCCTTATCTTCGCTCTCAACGCACAGGGCAGCAGCCGCCGTTAGTACAGCTACAGGTGTCCTAGCTGGGTAGCTGAAGTGGATGCCTGAAAATAGCCTTGCTGGCGTGACTGCACGTTCTGCCGTTATACAGAGCCACAGTGCAACAAGAGTCACTTCGTCGACGAAGAAAGGGTTGGATGGAAGCTTCCTCGCCCTTTCCCCTATGCTACTCCCATGCGCGTGGCAGTCTTTGCAGGGGATTGGCCCGTCGTTGACAACCTTCCAGATTTCCTGTCAGGCCAGGCGGAAGTGGCCACTTTGACGATCTGATCGTCCCATAATTGAGATTTGAGTGAGTGTCCCCGCTGATTCGACCGTCTTTTGTGTCTCGACTTTCTGGGACGGAAAGAAGAGGGAGGACGATTTGCGGGTGTCGTCTCCTCGAGGCGGGTACCAGTAAGTCTTCCTGTGATGTCTGTTGGTGTGAAATACATGTACTTGATCTCGATGCGTGTTTGTGTAAAGTGATCAGCGTTCTGGCGGGTTGTGAGCACCTAGAAACTTGTAATTTCCTAGAGTTGAACGTGCTAGAATGCATACTCACTGACACCGTGTACATTTTACTCTCAACAGCCGTGCTGATACGCTGCATTTTCTTTGGCCAAACTCATCGACGGAATGCTCAGTCGACACAGTCAGGGAGATGATGCTAGCACTGCAGGATCCTTTGCAAAAGCAACAAAACGGTTTTGTGCCGTGTCGTGTGCTGTCGCTGCTGTTATCCTCTTGTTCTTGTAAACGCCTACCCCATCCGGGAAAATCACCCAAGTGCACCGTGTAGATTGCATTCCTTTGCGACGTGTAATGATGCCAAGGAGGACCGACCCCCAGCCGCCAAAAGGACAACCAAAACCTCCCTTGGCGAGCATAATTGGACAGACTTTAGGAAGGCCATTGACATCAAGAGGCGGGAGCAGCCTTCAGCATGAAATCCGATCAGACCTAACCAGTGCTGTCAAAGCCGACTGGTGAATGGGTTCCAGAGAGGAGCCGAGACTGGCACAGGCAATGAGGCATACCGTAGGCTTGCTGATGTGAACTGGAGAGTGGTTGTATGGGGCAATGGGCCATAGAGCATCGATTGGTTTTCTTGCGCTGTCACATGCTGCCGCTATTCACTGCCCTCCAGGACTGATCTGCGGTTTGTTGTTGCAAATTGACGTTCACGGGAGGGGTTTGTGTAGGAGGACCAAGTTGAAACTCTATGTGAGCGGCAAGGCAAGCTGTCATGTTGTACCTATTTTAAAAGCACTGTTAACAACATGCTTACTGGTCCCTTTGATCAGAGTATCCTGTGATGGATCATGTCAGGAGTCTGTGAAGGGACATAACAAGGAGGCTTGCTTCATCTCCCAGGCCTGCAATGTCAGTTCCAGTGCTATTCAGCAGCATAGGCTTCTTGTGTGCTATTGCCTGGCTGCAGGGTACCTAGTATGCTATAGGGCATTTTACAATTTTTCACAAACATAGATACATGAACCTGCACGAGTGTTACTTACATCCAGACTTCTAGCGTCCTCCCAAGCTAGAATTTGAATGCACAAGCTCCTCCAAACTTCAGCAGAACTCTTGCAATGCAACATGTTGATGTGTACACACTTTGTTCAACATAATAATTATTATGAGTCTTACCCCCCCCCCCCCCCATCCCATGGTTTATCAGCTCAAAACCGCTAAGGGCAAGGTCTTTCAGAATCCTAAAACTTGCCTGAAATACTGAAATATAGACTATGCTTCTAGCAAAGAGAACTTTATGCATAAGCAGAATTGTAAAGTGAAGGCAACCACAGTGAGGTCGCCCAGAGCTAGAAGCCTCTGTCAACTATTAGAAGACCGTGTCAAAAATTGCAAAAGCTGTTCTTCTAACATTGAAATGCACTATAAAACAGAGAGGTTCCAGGCTGTCCAAGAGAGCACTCAATACCGAGAGGTAGAGCTGGTTCAAACAAAACAGATGATCGCTTAGTGCGTGAAACTCGGAGTAAAAACACTTTCTCTGTCCTCCTATTGTTTGAAATGCACTATATTATAATAGTAACTCTAGATGAGAAACTGATAGCATAGTATTACAACGTGCGCTGACCTTTCAACTTGATAATCAGTATAATCCGCTACATGTGGAGACAGCTGCGCCAGTGGCCGCTACAATGACAGCGGTGAAATTGCGGAATCAGCATTCGGCAGCATGCTGGCACGGTGACCAGGTGACTGGAGAGCTGTGAGCTACTATTATGGAACTATGGCACACAAACACCAGAGTGCAGTACACCAGCAGGACCGCCGGAAGCAGTTTGTGATTGGTCCGGTAGTATTGTGGCCTTTCATACAGTTTGTGTATCGATATGGTGGGTATACACACACACACACACACACACACACACACACACACACACACACACACACACACACACACATACATGCCCTCCACAGTAATAAACACATGTTGGTGGCCAAAACGTTGGTCCGGGTATAACCTGACCAACCGGACCGGTTCCAGCTGGCCTGACTAGGTGTTTCACTCTACGCCAATCCCAATACCATTGGCCAGACACTTGCCATTTGCCGGCAAACCAGGCAGCAAGCCGGTGAATTTTGTGCATTCCGCATCTAACTCTTCTCCGTATATATTTTATTGTATCTGCAGATATTGTCCGTATCAACAAAAAGTCATCAGCCAACCAGCCACTCTTAGCAGCGGTGGGTACAAACTCGCCAAGTACCACTTGCAATGATGCTCTTCTCGTGTGCAACTGAAAGCATGGACGATGAGTCCATGCTGATGAGGAAACTCGCCTGCTTGTCGCATGGTCGCTTCGGCAAGAAGAACAAAGGTAAAGAATGTGCGTGTTCTGTTTCCGGCACGTGTCCCAATGTTTGGAAGAAACAAACTCCCTGCAACGCACCTCCAGGAGAGCTGTATCACCCTAAACACATGCATGTGACTCACTGGACAGTTTTATGACGGTATGTTCCCAAGTTAGAGAAGGTCCCTCCCTCCCTCTCTCTCTAGCTCTCTCTCTCTCTCCCTCTCTCTCTCTCTAGCTCTCTCTC